GATCTTTGCCCCCATAAGAGAGCAAATGTCTCGAATCAATTTCACTTTATGAAGACATAAATTAAGCGAATATATTATGAAGCTTAACTTTCATGCGGCTGCTTCTGTAAAGCCTTGTTGTACTTGTTCAAAATAGTAATTCCAACTCACTGACACAGGGAACATCCATGATGACCAGGCCATTTTAATGTAGGATTTTTTGTGTTAATATATGATATTATCCTATATTAACTGCCCCAAGACGTCCTATATTAAACAAAGTGCGTGGCGGTATTCCTACGCTTTGTCATATTCTGTGGATTGAACAACTTCATTAATTCAACGTAATTCAGCAACATGCCGCCCAAGAAACAATCTAAAGATGCTCGTGAGAAGTGGAGTGACTCATATTCCATCGATTTAGCACTCAGGCCAACAGAATTTGCGCATACTGGTGCAATGAAATCCGCTACTTGCATGTTCCTGTGAAATTTATGGCCGCGAAGATTCAAATGCAGTTCATGACGAAAGCGCATTGCCCCTTTCTACGAAAGAGGAACTATGTGCTTGAAAGCATCAAAATACTACCAAGACGCAGCACTGTACGAAGTTTTGCGTGGATAACATTTAGAAACATCATAGGGAGCAGCATGCCGGGAAATGGGCCGAGTATTCAGTCTTGCTCAAGACGAAGCAGTCAGATCTTGAACCTCTAAAACTGTTTTTCAAGCAAACAAGAATGTATGTGTTCTTTGAGAAGCGGATGAACATTGAAGGCCGTCATAGGATCATGTATATTGACAAGAACATTGTTGAGGTTGTTGTTCGCGAAATGCTGTATAATCTCAATGATGAGAATCATCAGCTTGCTGGTGATCGTGCAATGAACGTGTTCAAACCAGTATTCTCCATTGAAGACGATGGTTCTAAGATTGTTGAGCGATACAATGTTGTGATATCGGCGCCAATGGAATTTGACTACGTGGTGTCGTTGCTTGCGACTGGGTTGTCATTTAACCAGATATCTACTGTCATCGATTGCAATCTAACTGTGCTGGAAACCGCTGGCAAGTAGAAATCTCTGAGTCCTGGAGAGGTTTCATGTACACGCCGAATTGTTTGTTCCATTGCATTACAGCTGCTCTCCGATCTGATGCGGAATTCGTGAACGTTCTCGAATGCTTCTAATGCTTCCACGGATGAATTCGGAAATGCTTACCTTGACACCAGAATCCGATTACCTTTAGTTCAGATAGGAAAGCCTCTTCTCTCCTTCCATTTGCTGGCTATTCCTTTGTTCAATGAGTCACATTCTGGTCAATCTCTGTATGGATTTATGACTTATTTGTTGAATGCACTTTGTTCGGATTGGGACCGTTGTTTGATTGGATTGTCTACTGATGGTGCACCGAACATGAACGGCGCTATACAAGGATTTTTGACTCAACTCAATGACGCAGTTGCATAGTTTCGGTCACTCTATTGCATTTAATGTCTCGTTCATCAACTCGACATCATCGTGAAGACATCCATTGTCAGTATGCAGAATCTTGTGAACTTCCCATTGGAGAAGACGTTGACGACTCTGGTCGGATACCAATGCAGGCAGGAAACATTGATTCGGAGTATGGGAAGCAAATGTCCTTACTGGATCAACGTTCATTGGAAGTCAATGTCAAAAGTTTTACAGTGGCAGCTCAACCATCGTGTGCGGATTCAATCTTTTTGTATTAAGAAACAGTTTGCCCCGACACCGAGTAGTCAATGGTGGCTGATGGCTATGGTTCTCCAGAAGCAGTTCTTTGAACGGATCAATGCTACCTTTCACCATTACAAATTGACTCAGCTGTTGTGTCCAAGCATTACAATGGTCTCACGAAGCTTCTCTTGAATATACAGGCCCAGTGTACAGCAATTAGAAACGAGAAAATGTCATGCGAAGATCATCGACTGACGATCTAAAACGGTGCTGCTACAATGGCCCAATTCACACTTGATGCAAATGGATTGAACACTTTGGTGCGCAGCACAGGGGTGCTGCTCAAAAAATCTAGGAAGGGTTGCAACCCAAGGATTACAATGAAGTCATCTATGCATTGGCTGTTGTGTATCTCACCGCTCTCAACGGTATCGTCACAATTATCAAGGGGCGCCAAAGCACACACATGGAATCCGAGATGATCCCTCCTGTCCTTCCATTGGAGTTGGTCGATACTTCTCACTGTGATTTCATAGCGCTGGTTCGAAAGCATAAGAAAAGACTTGTCAATCATTTTCCAGACAAAGCCGACAATATCATTCGAAGCATTTGTGATCAACACGCAAAGTTGAAACAATGTGTCTCTACAGAGCCGGATCTCGAAAGGTCTCTCCATTCTTCATGCAATCAAGACTTTGATTTGGCGTGGGCACTTGGCCGTTTTCGTTTTCGGGATCTTCAAAGCTTTGCTGCTGGTCTAGCCACTGTGATGCCTATCATTTTCCGAGTCGAAGGAGACTTCTCCCTGATTCACTATCGCAACAACGAGTACTGTTCAAACCTTTCCGACTTTGCATTAGAGGGAGTGATGCATTCCAAGCAGCTTCGTGATCTCCAGAATACAATTATTGATATCAAATGACCATCGAAAGCAATAAAACATCGCTGTGTCCATGTGTACTACTCTAATCACTGCCTACCTCAATAGGATCCTATATAATCCTATATTAGCGTCAAAAATTCGTCCTATATCTTATTAATATGGGATAGAAGGATCAAATCCTACAATAAATTGGCATGATGATGACTATCCACTGCGTACCGGTTCATTTGCCAACATGAAGACCTGATTTTTGCGTTCATGCATTCTTGTTGTACATTGTAAATGGAGGAGTTTCAACTGATTATTAGCGCTTTGAAATTCCTCCTTTGCGCAAAGTACGTTTTGCTTCCAAGATATCACTAAAGCAAAGATGAAATCTCCTGCTGTGAAGAGAAGGTCGAGGGATTCTCCAAGCAAACGTTACTTCCCTGTACCTGAAGCTGTAACGAAGTGTCAATCAGCGGGCTTACTTATACGTCTCTGTATTTTAAATCTTCCTTCACGTGATGTGAGTCGATCAATTCATAAAGTATTCTCAAGTTGTTGCTAAAATTGTAGAGTGTTAAATGCATATATATGGATCTAGCAAATGAGACTACCAATCCTTAAGCCCCATGCTTGACAAAGAGATCTCGTATTTCTTGCCTACTCAACGCCTTCAAACTCCTTCAAACACACCCTGTTATTGTGTCAAGTTTGTTAGTGTCCCAAAAATTACCATTGACATATATCATTTTCTATACTGTAGTCTTTAATACATCAACTTATATACAGAGTTCAATTTATTCTAGCCAGTCATCTGAATTACATGGTAGAAATCCGGAACATCTGACAGGTATCGATGAAGGAAATATGAAAAAGCACCTGAGATTCTTGTGTGCATGATTTCCAATGTCTTCTTCTTTTGCTATCTGAATTTCAACCTGAACATCTAGTTGATGTGATCTATTCAATTCTCGAGAGTAGGTTCGGTTATTCTGGTAAACCTAAGATTTACCTCACACATGTATGTGGTAAATGCTGACAACAGTGAATTCAAAAGTCCTAAATATTCACATAGTTTTTTTTTTCCTGTTCTCATTTCGATGATCTCGCGTGATTTAGTTCAAAAATATATCTAAATCAAAATTTGATGTATAATCTTGTTTTCGAAAAACAAAATATGTTGTATTTGCATTGTAATACTATTTCTCAAATCCACCGGAACCACACTCTGTAGGATAATCTTGTTGTCACAATGAATCTCTGAGGGCGATCCTTTTATTTCTTACAAAAACGTGTACATTCCTTCATCCACTTCTTGATGCGATTACTCTTCTAACATAAGAAAAAGCTTTTAAAGTCCGTACTATTTCATATATAATATCTTTTCATAATTTGTGTCTCAACAAGTATTACATTGATAAAAAATTTAGGTTTGATTTGAACAAATTCCAAATTTATCATTCAATTAGATGACTATCCAGTGCAAAGTGATAAGCTAAAAATAATCATAAAATGAAAATTGCAATAAATGAAATAAGAATATTAATATCATAGTTAATAATTTGTAAGGTTAATCTGAGATGTTTTTAAATAAATGGTTTTTAAAATTTAACTAATTTTTGAGATTTTGTTGTGAATATTGGATGAAAGTTTGATTGAATATTGGTTGAGAATATGTGAAAATGAAAATCTTTTACCGTAAATAAATGCTTGATTTTAGAGATGTTTTGAGATTTCAAGATTCGAAGTTAAACATTGTATATGTTTTGAAAAAAACAAATAGTATCATAGTCTAAGTGAATAAATAGATGATTTTTGGAATTTGCAATGTTTTATGTGGAATTATAACCTTCATATATCATTATATATAAATATTTAATCAAAAAATTCCTTAAAACATTTGACATAGTTTTAAAAATGTCTCATATAGCTAGATATTCAAGGGTTCTTAAGCCAACTACCTGAATTCTATCCAAAATGGATTTTTCAGAATATTTGGTACTAAAAAATATATTGAAGAAAAAATTAAAAATATACTGTTCTATGTATCCCAGATACCGAAGGTGTCATATCATTTTCATACAAGTGTTCTTTTACTTTACATAATTTTTATCTTATTATATATATTTTTAAAAAAATGAGTCGTATTTTTTTTTTAAATATTCTAAATTTTACAATATATATACTGTATATATATAAATTATAATAACAAATTCTCGTTTTTCTTTCAGTACTGGACTATACTTAATAGTTTGTCGACACGTGGCATGCGACGAGGCAACAACAGCTGTGGGTTTCGACCCACATTCTCATAGCCCGTAAGTGCTGACCGGTTGGACCGGTCGATGCCCGTCCGTCGTGAGACGGAGTCATGATGGTGCGAATCGGCGTCGCCTCGCCCAACGTCTCGGGGGCCGAGTCGGGGGAGCGTCAAGTTGACGCTGCGACATGAACAGCCGCCCGCCTTCTTCATACCGTACCTGGTACAGTACTGTACAGTGCTCCGATCGGCCACTTCGGCCCCTCTGTTCTTGTCTGTTCTCCGTTTCTTCGCCAGGGGATGTCTTCTCGTGGACATTCTGCACTGCACAGTATCTGCGTCAAGCTCAATGTTCGAGTTGCTGGGGGCTTTCTCGGGCAGCGACGACGTCACGGAATTCGACTCAGAGCTCGGCGATTGGGATTCTGGAATTGTCTCTGAAGTCATCGATATCAGGTCCGGGAACTGGACCTACGGTTGTATGATGAGTAGTAGTCAGAGGCAGTAGAATTGCTGAAGAGCAAGGCGCGGAAGGGAAGTGAGAAATTTCAGCAAGTTCGGAGGGAAAGAAACCGAGTTGTTCCAGCCTTTAAGATTTTTGGGTGATTTAAATGCCCGTCGAGTACGGGGAAGGGAGACTTCTCGTTGTGTTTTCGTGGTTGTCGGAATTGAATTCCACGTGCACTGATTCTGTTTATTATCTGAATTGTTGGATTGTTGTATAGTCGAACAGAAAATTAGGGAGAAGCATATTGAGAGCTGGAGAAGCGGATTCTCGAATTCGGCTGTGCATGGGCTTCATGACGGTTGAAACTTAGGCTTGACTCAGCTAAGTAGAGAACAGTGGGTTGGCCTGTCACTTAACAAAGTCGATCATGGCGAGGAACAAGGTATGTCTGGTTTTGCTTTACGTTTTCTAAGCGTGAACATGTCGGTTGTGGGATTACATTTTTGGAAGATAGTGATCATGCTTAAAAGTTTCCTCATGCCAATTAGTGCAGAGTCCGTGAAATTAAGCTCGATAGGACAGTACTGCAATGCAACCTTTTTCAGATACTTGTGAGAGTAGGTGAAATATATAGGGGGTGCTCTTTGCAGCATTGTTCGTTCCAATATCTGCAAAAGTTGCGGCGCCTTTACTAGCGTCTAGTGATCAGCTACTCTTGTGTAACAGGTTGGTCCATGGAGTTCGATCAAAACTTTATATTGCATAACTCTCTGTGGCACTAGCCCACATACCGTTGTAGGTCATTAAATTGCAGATTAGTGGTTAGTCTTGTTGAACCTTTTTCAAGTATATAGTGAACCAGCTGCTAAATTCTGGTGTACCAAAATTGCTTACACCCCTACTTCGAGTGGAAACGCGCTTCTTCTCTGCCAATTGTTTGAGCACAGTCATTATAAGTCGTTAATCTCAGTCGTACTTGGGAAATACATTCTTTTAATACATCATCTTTCTTCTGTTTCATCCTATTGCAGGAGACTTTAATCCTTTTGGTGGACATAGGACCGAGCATGCACCCTCATCTGGACTATGCAGCTAGGGCCATTTCAGCACTCGTACAGAGGAAGGTAGGGATTTGTTGATTCGTCCGATAATTTCCGAAAGTTTGATACTGTCTTTGGAGCCGTGGCTGTGTATGTGCGTCGTTCCACTGTATTATGCTTACTTAGAAGAGTCAAGGCCCTACATTTATAGGAAAGAGTTCCTGTGCTGTTTCGTTCTCCGTAACATTTTTAGAGCCAATGACATCTATTCATGTCATGAAATCTACTTGTCCTCGATATAGTTTTTCATCTATCTTTCGTATATAACTAGCAGGTCAGCGTGTTTACGTCAATAGAAGCCTTCGTGCCTGTTTTGATTGCGACTAAAACGCTCATGTTCGAAGTATTATACATCCGGTCTATGTCTGCTTTTAGCGGTCACTCGGTGGCCACCGTGGGTCCATAAAGTGGGGGGTACAGCTAGGCTTGAAACAATACATAAGCTTGGAAAACCGTTCTAGTTGTACTGTTCTTAGAAGGGGTCTTCTACAGAACTTCACTTCAGGTTACCTGACACCTAATGCACCGTGATACCTCATATGTAATCTGTTTGATGTATCTACTTGTAGTCAGTCATAAACTCAACCCTGCTTTACAAGTCTATTTTCCACCTTGACTATCGTGTAACACCTATCTGTGCAAAAATAGAAACTGATAAGATCCACACCGTTGATCGCTGAACTAAAACTGTGATGTGCAGATTGTTCACAATAAGCACGATGAAGTCGGATTAGTGTTTTTCGGTGCCAATGGTACGTTAGACTCGTCTTCATTGTTGAAGCCTTCTTCTTATATCAAATCAGGTTTCCGTTGTCAACTGCAGCCGCATCAGAGTCTTTGCATGTAGGGAATTCACCATATTTTCTTCTTACTGGTTAGATCTATGTCAGGAGTCACTCATTAAGTGATAACCCCTAGCAGGAAGGAGAGACGGAGTTACCTCTAGGAAGGAGAAAAATATGTTGGTTACACTAAATTGAAAAGTGATTGCATGCGAATGCGTTCTCTAGGTTCTGTGAATCAGATGATTTACAGCGATATATTCCTACCTTCCTAAACCTTGAGATGTAAGCATCATTACCCTTTCACTAAATCGTACCTTATTTTCCCGTACAGATACAGACAATGAGCTCAGTTCTGAACTTGGGGGGTACGAGGACATTGTGGTGTTAAGGCCTATCGCTGTCGTCTCGGAGGAACTCGCCCAAGCTGTGGACCAGTTCTCTAAGGAATATGGGACTAGTGATTGTATCCTTCTTGGCATGTTGGTATTTCGGTTTTTGCTCATATTGCGCTGTATAGGAAGTCTCTCACTTTGACGAGAAAACCCTTTGGACTATCTTAACAACCTGGTAGTTATGGATGCTATGGTCGTCGCTATGGACTTGATAGTGAAAAAATGCGCAGCAGGATCCAAAGGCAACAAGCGAATCTATCTTATCACAGATGGTGAATCTCCTGTGAAGGAACCTGAGGAAGGGACCAAATCAGAGCAGGTGGAACTTCTTCGTAATCAACTGCAGATGCACAATATAATCTTGGATGCCGTTGTTATTCGCCTTAAAGGGGAGAATGGCGCACTGGAGTCTAAAGCAAGTCAAGAGAACGAATTTCTTTTGAGAAGTTTTGCTGATGGAACCATGGGAGACCTCGTACTCGTGGAAAGTTACACTACCCTGCTAGGAGCCGTCAAGTCCAGATCAGTTTCTCCAACAACACTCTACAGGGGTGATTTGGAGCTCACCCCAAACATGTCAATCAAGGTGTGGCCTGTTCGACCCGTTTCATTTAGCTTCTGTACGTCATATTTTGCAGCCAAGCGATTACTGGGACAACCTCGCGTGTTGAACTTTACCTTATCGCAGACATTTGTCTTTTTTGAGGTTTTTTTGACCTATAGTCAGGGGAAACGAGCTAGTGCTATATATCGAGGAAGATATATGTGATAACAGCTCGGAGAGAACGGGCTCATAACAACTACACGCTGGGGTTTCATGCAGAGGTGTCAGGAAGATTAAAGCAAGAGCAAAGGAGATATTCACAAGTGATCAATCTAGTGTTTCGAGCGCTGGTTTTAGGTCAAGAAGCTTTTGGTAATTTCTAAATGGTGGTGACTGATTTGCAGGTATGGGTTTACAAAAAGGTTAGCTCGGAGAGAATGCCGACATTGAGAATCTACTCTGACAAGGCACCACTCCTGGACACCACTGCCACTCATGAAGTTAAATTCGACATCGAATACAAGAGCTCCGTCGATCTGGATGTTAGCATAGCTCCGGAACAGCGAATTAAAGCTTATAAGTATGGTCCCCAATACGTTCCTATCTCGTCGAAAGAAGAAGAAGCTCTGAAGTTCAGGACGGAGAAAGGATTGAAAGTGGTTGGCTTCACCGATAAGTCAAATGTTCCTAGGTGAGTCATGGGTTTTGGTATCCTGTTTTTGGAATGCAGGTGGCCAGTTCAGAACTAGTCCGTGAGTCGCGTACCGCAAATAATTTGGCGATACAAATTGCTTAGAAAAGGCTCAACATGTTTGTATGTGCAGACATTATTTTATGAAAGAGACCAATGTATTTGTACCCGAACTAAGGAACACAAGGTCTACACTTGCTATTTCCTGTCTTGCTCGAGCGATGGAAGCTGAGGGCAAGGTTGCAATTGTTCGTTGTGTTTGGAGAGCAGGCCAAGCTAATGTTGCGTTAGGAGTTCTTACACCTTGCCTTGGCAGTGACGACTCCGTAGTGAGTCTTCAAATCACTCTTAACTTTTTGTTTTCTTTCTTTGCTCACTCAATACACTGGACTCTTTGTTCAAATGCGCACCCCCGCTCTTCTGCTGCTTGAAGCGTGAGTTGTTGCCAACCGTGATGGAGCGATGCCTGTCTAGCTAACAGTTGCTTTCGACCGTGTGTTTTAGGCTGATTGCTTCTACTTCAACAACATTCCTTTTTCAGAAGACCTTCGTGAATTTGCGTTTGCCTCCTTCAAAGACCGTCCTTCCACGCAGCAACCAACAAGATTGCAGCAAGAAGCGGCGGATGCGTTAGTCCAAATGATGGACCTCGTACCCTATCCCGGACAGGAGTTTCTGATGCCAGAAAGAACTGTCAATCCCGTATTGCAGGTTTGTAGAAGTTCCTCCGTGCTTGCACTATACCTCATATCTCAATTAATACTGCCCTTCTGGGCCTTGTAAGGCGTTTTTAATTTTTCACTGAACGAACAATGCTCTATTTTTTGAAGAAAGAATAAAAATTCCTGCATATTTCTCATTTCAAGTTGCTATAACAGAGTAACATCATTTGATTGTAAAGACATGGCCGCTTTGCTTTTGTACGAGGAACTTGTTGCTTGCTGAGTTTTTTTGGTTGTTTATTAACAATATCTGACGTTGTGTTTTCTGGCTAAAGTTTCTTTGAGTATATAGCTTGTTAGATTCGGTGTTCATCTATTATTTTTCCAGCAAGCCTTAAGTGCAGAGTGTGGCCTCGCTCACTCGATTTGCCTGCATAAGTTGTTCGTAATCGTGAAGGCAGTGTCTTTGGTCTCTTAAAGTCTTGGGGACCTCTCCAAAAAACACATTGTATAAGGTCTCCCTCTACCACACACTGTGCAAGCAACTTTCAGAACTTAGGTTCGGCTTGAGGTTGTCATATTTGTACGGGTCTATTGTGGACTCTGAGCAGGCTTTTGTCGAGATTCATTCGTTGGATTTTCGTTGTAAACCGCACGAAGAAACAATGAAGAATCGATCGTGCTTCTTGCTTTAATCCTAACTGACAAGTCTCATAAGCCACGTCTAGTTAGTGGGAACTTGATTACTGAAACGAATATGTTCTCTTTTCTTATGCTTCCTTGCCGCACTTAAACGTGTAGTACCTAGTGCTTAAAACACGTAGACCTCCCGATGGTGATCTTTCTGGGTGTTGCAGCGGTTTTACAGCTTCCTTCATCTGAAGTCAGTGAATCCTGAGGCAGCTGTCCCACCTCTGGATAAAGCACTTCAAATCATCATTCAGCCCGAGGAACGATTTATTCAAAAGGTGGACTTCATGTTGCAGACTTTCAAAGAACAGTTCCAACTTATACGAAGTACTCAGGTGTGTAAGATGAATGTGCCTCATCTGCACGGAAGCGTAAAGTGATATAGATCATAGCAAGATGAATTTACAATGAGCGAACTATTATGAGTGAGTTCGTTCTCAGGAAAGTTATGATAGAGTGGCATGAATCCAGTAAAAGTTTTTAGTTTTATTACATTTAGTTTCATCATTTTTTGAAGTTTTGTCTCCTGTATTTAGTCTGTAAGGCCAAGATGTATTCAAAATATGTTGTATCTGTTATATTGCAGACGGAAAAGGGAGGCCGGAAATTCTGGAAGGACAGATTAGGAGAAAATGAAGCTGCTTTACCTGGGGAGGACCTTCTGCAGATAGAGGACGGAAAACCACTGACGTTTGAGTTCCTCACTGGCAAGAAAGTTGAGCAAGTTGGAAGTTTGAATCCTGTTGAAGATTTTGAAGCTCTGCTTGCACGACGAGACAGCGATCAGTGGGTAACAAAAGCGATCAAAGGGATGAAAAAGATTATAACCGATCTTCTCAACTCCGCTTATAATGGGAATACATATGAGAAGGCTGTGACCTGTCTTATTGCTCTGCGGCGAGGCTGCGTAATTCAAGAGGTAAGAAACATGATTGCGACGGGTCTAAGCGGAATAATAGATAACGTTCTTGTGTCCTGGTTGGAGGTTGCATGCCTCTCTTTGCGTTCAAGTAACATTCGTATCTAGTCCCAGAAAGTCTGCAAGTTCAAGATCTCCGTAGCGAAAATAAACACGGTCTCACAGCAGAAGGGTTTGTTTTGCATTAATATTGCATAGAACCATTACCAGTATTATAGGCCTCCAAAATTTCCTTCTGCTAGTTTTAATTTTGAGGAACTACTTGTTTCTACACATCAACAAGTCCTTGTGGCGAGAGTTCACTTAAAGAAGTCCTGAAGTTCCTGACCTTGGGCAAGATGAGAAGCACTAGGTATTGATTGAAGTCTCCTAGGCAACATGCTGGGTTGTTCAATGAGATCTAATTTCCATCTGTTAGTTTTGATAATGAGGAAATACTTATTTCTTCACATCAACAAGTCCTTGTGGCGAGAGTCTACTCAAAGAAGTCCTGTAGTTCCTGCATTTGGGCCAGATGAGAAGTACTAGGTGTTGATTGAAGTCTCATAGGAAACATGCTGCGTTGTTCAATGGGATCTAATCTCCACCTTCTTAGCCCTGTAAGTCCTCCCTGTTTCCACTTTTGTTGTTCTTCTTCACATTCATTTATGTACTTTTTTGGAGAATGGAACCTACATTTCATCCATGCCTTCACAAATCTCAAATCATTTAGTGCTCTAGTTTATCTTCGGTACCTGACCTAGTGTGCACAGTTATGTATCACTATAGTTCCGCCCTTTCGAGTTAGAAGTTGGCTCTTGCGACACTGGTGTAAATGATGAGACCTTGTGGATTGATACAGCAGAGTACGTTCTTGGTTATATGAGTGTGGAACTTTCAACTGACAGTGCTAGCAAGGATCGAGTTCTGGATTGTGTGTTAGCTGCAGTAAGTGCAGTTTACTAACAGAGTTGGTGAAATGAACGATTCAGTGTTTTCGAAAATAAGATCTTTGTACCCTGCACACTGAGGTAGGGCTGTGTGATGGCAAATTGATGTTTGCCATTCAGCTGTCGGTGATGGTTACTGGCCTCTTACGGCGTCTCCCGTGGGAACTTAAAGCGCACATTGCATTTAATTCTCGTCTATACTGCAAGTACGTTCGAGTCCAGACCTATTTGGCTTCTGCGATGTCCATTATTGTTTCACAGCTTTACTCCAGACTGTGTTAATTCTTTCTGATGCGACCTCATAGTGGATTAGGTTTGATTCCTCCTCTTTTAAGTCCTTGTGGTTTATGACGTGCTGCTGCTTCATATATCCCCTTGTAGTTGTATAACCTTACTTATCTTCATTTAAAAGAAGGAGAAGATATCAAAGTCCAACAAACGCCGAAGAAATACTGACTTCCTCCGAGTTCTCGATTCACGTCCTTTATTTTGTAGGAATTGTCCGTATATTGATACGTTTGTCCGTATATTGTCCGTCTATAGAAGAGCCTTTCTTTCACTGACCGATATTGTTATATAGTAGAGTGTTGAACCTTATGTATGTAAGAGACATATTCCTTCCGTGTAACCACTCTTATTGCAGGAGCCGTCTGATTTCAATACGTTCCTGGAAGAAATCTCCAACAGATGCAGGGGTAAACGTCAAAATGACTTCTGGGAATTGGTTACTGCTAAAAACTTGACCCTTATTAGCAAGGACGAAACACCTGACAGGTACGTATGAAAGCGATTTTGTTAGAAATTTCTATTGGCCCTTGGTCGGATGATTTCCTGAATAGAATCAGGTCTTTTGAGCCTTCTTGTCTGATCGTTTCGAGTGCGTAATGTGGTGACAGTGATGTAACACAAGAGGAGGCGGCGTCATTCTTGAGCAGAGTGCAGAACTCAGGACATGTCTCAGAGGGAGTTCCAGAAGAGGAAGTTGATGAGATAGAAGCACTTTTAGATGACGTCATCTGAGTGACGTCCCTAGCTGCGCATCAACTGTCTTCCACTCGTTTTATTTGAACCTGCACTTGTTCTAAGTCTAGATGTAGATAGATAAAGAGAGGAAATGGAGGAGTAATTGTATCGACACGCACGGCATGTCAGTTTTAAGTAGAGCCGTTTAGAGATTGATCTGCTTATGCTACAAGATTCTCAGTGATAAGTATAGTTTGCTACAACTATCAACCAAGGTTCTTGTAGTTCATCAGATCTCTACCCGCAAGATGGGTGTGGACGTTCCAAAGCTCAAATACACATCGTAATGTTCCTTGTTTGTCAAATCGGGCCTATAATGAACTGACAGAGGCCAGTTTGAAGGTTTTGTACCAACAGTATCAGTATCTTGAAAACACAAACTCCAAGCTTGAGTTGTCAGACTCTTATACTTTCTGTTTGATTGTCTGGACAGATATTAACAGTTTGCAATCGCCTGTTCAAACGTTTGCAAGATTATAAAAGAAAGTCTGTTACTGTTGTCGAGATTTTGTAATTGGAAACTTGCTCCTGCTCTTAGGTGCTAATTCTTCGAGTGAAATTTATTCTAGTTCTCTAAGGCCTGTGGTCTTAAGAAAAGCTGGACACTCACGGGGTTTCCCAAATGTAGCGACAGTACTCGAGTTCAAATGCATATGTTGCGCATGAAGGACACGGTGAGTCTAAGATTGGTCTAGGTTTTCGTGTCGTCGAAGTGTAAGGTCCAACATAATCTTGGCCGTTCGTGAAAGCTTTAATTTTTATTGAGTAAGAAGGAATTACTTGTCTCGAACTAGGCATTACCTACGCGGAATGTCACTCCTCGTGTTATTTCCTTTGAGATGGATGACATCCGCGAGAAGCAACACGTAGATTGCGTTCCGCACGTCATTGACGCTGCAGACGTTTCAACTGAGTCGATGTCTTTAAGTGTAGGAAAGGCGGAGTCCTTATCTGGAAGCTGTGATCCTGAGAAGTTTATGGCTCTCAGGCACGAGAAGACTACACGAATCCACCTAAGAAACAATGGGTGAAACATCTTGTTGATCCTTTGATGTGTGCTCGAAGTTGCGGGGCATAACTGTTTTGCTTTACCACCTGCCGAGAGGAGATGAGGAGCAAAATGAATGTGTTATAATGGTAATGGGACTCTTGAGCAGACCTGCGGAATTCTGGGGATCGTCCACTATTGAAGACGAGGACCAGCAGGTAGGCGCAGCAAGGAGTCCACGAGTGGACTCGGAGAAGGGAAGTCTGCACCAATCATCTGGCCAGCCGATATCTACCTTCCCGAATACAGGACAAAAGGCTCAGAGTTGTTCTGCATTGGACTGGAGCCACGATAGAGATGTTGGAGACGGACATGGATAAAATGGTGCACTATGATATGTAATCCGCCCCATGGTAAGCATGCCACTAACTGTCAGCTGTTGAATTGATCTCCAAGCGAGGAAAAGGGAGAAGTACAAAGTAAATCAGCAAAAAGTATGGGGAGAAACCCATGAAGCCAAACATGGATGGAACCAAAGGGACATCACGGGGACTAGGCTCAATCATATTACAATGGAAAATATGTCAGAATGCATCTAGCATATAAGAACCATTAGAACTTTTCAGGTCAAACAGTCTGAGCATCATAAGAATCATCATGAGAGTCTTCTCTAATCCACGAAAAGCAGGAAATGCTTTTGTTGCGATTGGTGGACATTCTAGTAGAAAGAGTTACTTTAGCAACTCTAGGCATTCCATCAGCTTACAGAAATACGGTACACTCTGACCTTGAAATGTCCTATACTAAATAAATTAACAAAAAGGATGGGAAGACCCATCCAGTCGTACTTGCACGAAACCAAACCCGATGTGTAACATTAGACTAGTCCCCTATTGGCTCGAAATGAGAAATGTATGTGATGCAAACTCTAACATGTATGAGCTATCTAGATCCCATCCTTTTGGTTAGAGATTTGAGAAGCGCTTGAGAAGGTAAAAAGGTACGCAGCGCCAGCATTGGGATTGGGAGGCTCATATTCAAGTCGGTCCTTGTTATCTCGAATTCTTCTTCGACGAATGCAGCTCAATTCCGCTAAAATATCCATGCCGAAGCAGGAGGCAGAGCTGGTGACTTGCAATGTGCCCTATGCGGGCAATTAGACCTGAGATATGTTTTGTCTGTGGATACATGAGTATTGAATTGCATGCTGTCAGAAGTATTTTTTGGCTCAAATTTTGTGTGAGCCTAGGCTCTCGAGAGACCATGCAGGTTACACACGCTGTGGGTCTAGCAGGCTACAGCATTCATAGCTATGCTTGGTGGTATGATTTCACATTCTCAGTGAGTTTCTGATGCCCGCAGCATCCCACCTTTGTCGTAAGCGAGCGCCTCCTCATAGATCTGAGTTCAGTGCACGGGCCCAGTGCAATCTCAAGCAGTCGTACCACCCTCCTCGTGGTTTCTACTCTACACACGACTGGTGTCGATTTGTTTTACTCGGGTGGATCTGGAACTGGGACGACCAGATCAGCACCTGGCGGGAATGCACAGCAGATCATTTGTTCGCTTCCCCATTCCGGTACCTGTCACGAGCCATCGTACTCCCTCGTGGGGAACTCCAAATGGTTGTGTAAAGCTCCTGCTTCACGAGCTCAATCATCTTCATGCATTTGGACTACCTCTTTTCAGCTACTGCCTTAGACTTACACCAGTGCTCTGCGACTGCACACTGGCTACGGTCCCACTGAAACATTTGAACCCCTGTCATCATACCACACTTCAGTTGTGCAATTTAATCTAATTTAATCTTTGTATTAACCGGAAAACAGTAAATTTGGCTCTTAACCCTCGATGCTCACAATTGTAGCATAATTCTCCAGGTCAACTTTAAGGATTGGCTCATTCAGACTCCTCTGACCGCTTCGTGAAAACCACTTGCAATCCATTTTCTGAGAGTTTTCTGTTTCCTCCAACTTGGATGCGTTGTCTTGTGTTCTTACCCAATTCCATATTAGAAAACTTAATTTATCTGGCATAGTATGACTGTTGTGTCCTCTCCAAGGTCCTGTGATCTAATTCTATGTGAATGGGAATGGTTGTGCTAAATTGGAGAGCTTCTGTAGTGGGTTATCAGCTACTTATCTTGAAGATCGAGCGTCACTGACCAAGCACCAGCTTGGGCCTTGTTCTATCATGAGCCTCCGGAACTTGACACATCCTGTCATTTCTCGATTATCAATGGAGCGTTGGGTGGAGTTCCATCTTGTTTCGGTGCTTGATCATCTGGTAAGTTCTCTCTATTTTGCGCTCTCTGCTCTCCAGCCTCCTACAGGCACTCCTAATCTTCTCGACTCGCTCAGCTCCCTTCCTCCCTCGCGACCTTTGTTAGCTCCAGTCTGTTTCATATAGGGTCGCAGAAAATAGTCCCTTCTGACTCGTACTCCTCCTTAATCGCCTCGTTTGCTCGTGATGGACACGTCTATGTTGCTACGAAGTGCCCTGGTGGGGCTCGAGCAAATCCCGGACTGACGTCTCGTGCTTTCTATGCTGAGCTCTCCCTCCGATGGATCCCTTGATCTTTTCTTGCAGTGAACGACTTTCAGGTGACGAGAGCTCTTTCCACAGCTCCTTTTGGTTTTGCCGATTTCCATCTATATAGGGCTTTCACCGCGTATGGGATCTTTGGTTTCCTTTGGATACACATTCATTTCATTCCGTCTTCATTAATTTGAGAAGTTCTGCCATGATCGACTGGGGCTTTGGGTGCGTCCCTCTCCAAGCAGCCTCTTTTTGTAGGAGTGAAAGGCGCGCATGGATCTAGTTCTTTCTACTTCATACGCTCAAGTCCCCACTCTTCCCAATCTTTATGAGTGCTTGCAGTCAAAAAATAGTCGTGAAATAGACTCCTCGTCTCCTTGACATGGACAAACCGGGATAATCGATTTTACAAGTTGTTCAGTACTTTCTTCCATTCTGCTCTCGCCACCTCGAATTCAGCCTCTTTGCTCTTCTTCTTTCGCAATGAAGCATGGCCACTTCTTCGTGTTGAGCAGCCAGGTTTTCTACTTCGTGCTTCACTTTGCTAACTCCATCAATTACATCTCCGTTTTATTATCCGGCCGTTCCAGAATGAGAGGCAAGTTCATCGATCCAACTACCCTTTCCTCGCCCGTGTATTACTTCTAACCTGATGTCTCTCCTCTCTTCAACCCGATTGGCACATCTTCAAAACACCCTTCGTAGTGTAAATTATGACATCCATCGTTCCCATAGTGCCAGATTCTGCAGATGCTTACCTCTGCCTTCCTAGATAACTTTAGGATTAACTTTATTCTCGATCTCGTGCCACACTTTGACTATGCCAGTCAGGGTGGGAGCTTCTGCTGTGCTTATTGTCCGGCATGTTAGAAGATTCTCCGGTGCCAACCATCATGAGGGAGATTTTCTCAGATTATACGAGTCCATCAACAATTTTGAAGCCACATCCATCCATTCTTCAGTATCCCCACCTTATGATGTTGTTCATTGGCTTCACATTAAGGGATTTGTTGAGATTTCCCAATTATACCATACTGAATCCCTCTAGATCTCGACTTTCTGAGTGTTGCCCAATCCACCAGAGGAGGTATGGGTTTTCCTTTGCAGTTGTTTTCTTAAATAAAGATCCTCGAAGTGTGTAGTTCTTTTCTACTGGAATGTAGACAATATAGTAAATGAATAGTTTTGAACTCTAAAGTGTGTCTTGGTACAACTATGTGACAAGCAAACTATGGCTTTTGAAACATTCAGTATCTTAATTATTTTTTATCTTTTCCAGTTATGTTGATCATATGGCCAGCTTGGGTTGTACCCCACGCATTTACATGATCCCTATTACTTATAGCTTCCCTTGATCCTTATCCAGTTTCTGTCATTGAAGGTAGAGTAAGGCTCCAAAGATCTCATAGAAATTTTCCACCAGAGCTTGAATATTCTCACAGTTTTGTATGGATGCTTATATCATAGCTTGTGTCATCAGTAAGTAGCCAATACATGAGTCCTTTCTCTATTGAATCTGATCCACTCTTTCTCAGTCTACTACTTCTTATGAAGAATCAAGAGACAAGCCCTTAGTTTCGAGTTTGGTTTCAAGCTTGCAAGCCTTAACGGATTCTTCAATCAATTTTTATCATCCACTCACAATTTTCTGATTGCATATGGAGGTTAGGAATTGAAGAAACCATCTATATCATTTTCAAGAGTGTTAGATTCTCTTCACTGAAACTTCGTAACCTTCTTCTGTGATTTTAAAAAGATAAATTTTTAGCATACATGCATTGATGCGTTAGAGGGGAATATTTTATGCGTATACTTCTACGTTATACAAGAGCTATCAAATCCTCGGAAGTGAAACAAGAACTCTCAAATTCTTTTCTTAACTATCCGTCTAAAGTGCTCTTTTATATATATTTATTTATTTGAGCTTTACATTCACTTATAGTGGATCCTACCATCCATTCTCCTACAACACTTTGTAGCAGAAGACGTTCTTTATGATATTGTTTGTATTCATGTATGTGGACCATCCATTAATGTATTCCAACTCTTATCAAACTGATGAGATTTTGTTTGGCTCTAATTATATGTACATCATATTTATTGTTCACATGTGAGTATGATACAAGATATTCATATGACTCATTTTTATTCAAAGGGTAGAGCATATTCATTCTTTCATTGATATGAAGGATGAGATGACATGTGAAGGTGGACAGTTTACGTAGAGGTATTGTGGCATGTGTTATGGTTGACTAGGATTAGGGTAGATTTAAAGTTGTTATAACAGTACAGTAATGAATGTATGCTCGTTAATCATAGATTCCAAGACAAACTTATGGAGGACATGAGTATTCAGTTATATGACAAAGTATATCACAATCACTAGCAGATTTTAGGCATCAATTTATTGATTTATAAAATTCAAAAACTAATGATATACATATGAGATAAATGATATTAGCTGATGCAATATGTAATACTTTCCCTACAAAATCATTAACTTTAGGCCATGAAGTGTCCTTTGACATTGCTTATTATATAAAGGTATGTTATAATATTGTTATAGTCATATCTTAGACATATCTTTTACAGTGATGGTTTAGGGACCTGGCCCTTGCTTTCTGTTAACTTGTACGGCTTGATGGGGGTTTCCTTATTTTTATTTATCCACTTTGTCTCGTCTACTTCCACAACCGAGTTCAAAAGAATGGTTGATATATCAACCAAATGGATGACATTCAACACCCTGTAAATTCTCTCAAATCTGATCTTTGGCTTATAGCCTGCTGGTATGAACACTTGTGATGTGGCTCCTTCAACAAGTCCTCTAGTCAAGCGGATACACTTTCCATCAAAGCAAATGTCTTCCATTGTGGCCCATCAAAACCCATGATTCACTCTATCAAAAGCTCTCTCAAGGACAAAGTGCATTGATATTGCCTCCGTCTTGTCTCCTTCCACTTTCTCAGGCATTATTTTGAATGCTAAAAGATTCTTAGAAATTCCCTTTCCATTTACGAAAGCCTAATGCCTCCTATCACACATTGACGAAAGCTCATCCCGCTATCGCCTTGCGATGAGCTTCACTGACTCTTTATATGTGACTTCCATTAACGTAATTGACATCCAGAATATTCTGTATTGCAATCCCTCTCTCCCTTTGGGAACATCTTTATTACTCTCTTTGTGGACCCGGCTTTTTCTAGGAGCTTAGCTGCTTGTTCATCTCAGAATTGTTTCTCAGTCACGACCATTTGACTTTGTATCATAAAAGCCCCTCGAGATCCAAAGTACTTCTTCCGATGAGACATACCGACTGTTTTTTCACGGCCTCCAATGGAGCTTTACTTTCGGCTATCAGATTGCTGTGATCTTCTTATTCCAACCGAATATTTCTTTCCCACAGTTCCATAGTAGTCCCCATGATTGCTTGCTTCTGCCATCTGCCTCTTAAGCTACGCCCCCCATCTCTCGAGCGGGGCGTAGCTTAAGAGTCTCTTAGTACAATCAGCTACCTGATCTGTATGTGCCCTCGGTATTCCAAACAGAACAAAATCTTCCTCTCTGTTATCTTCTCCATGTAATAGATTTGTTGGGTTCGGCTTTCCCACATGCTCTTGGGTACATGGAACGATCAAATCAGAATCCCTCTCGACTTTGCGAAGCGCATTCGAGGAAAGGATGGCCCTCATCCTAGACTTTCATCCCGGATAAGAGCTTAGTTTCGGCATAGCCAGATGAGCTGAATCTCCCCTTGTTGCACCCTTGGACAAGTCATATTTGGTGGACGCTAGAAACAAAAATTAGAAAACTTTCCGCTCACTCCATCCCTCTCGACATTCTTCAGTTGCGCAATATCTGCCCACTAATTCCATCGCTGTGATTTCCCTAACAGCAATTTCACCTCTGCAACCAAAGTTCTTCAAGCCTAACAGCCTCTGCTCGAATTCATGTGTAGGTGGAGGAGCAGGTCGAGAACTTCGTGCTGGAAACGATGAACTGGTCAGTGGGGAAGTTGAATGTGTCCCAACTATCTTTAGATCTTCCTAACATGGCCACGAGCAATGTCCAAAAAAATTCGGAGTTCATCCTTCCACGGATCAGAGGATGAACGAAGGGCGACACACATGACGATGAGGTGGGCCTGCACTATCTTTAGATAACCGGTCGGAACTTTACTCGATGTTCTTGTCTTCAACGCAAGCAACTTTTTATGATAGGGCGCCGTCAAGACATTTGTACCGCTCAAGCTCTCTTCGTCCCATTCCTGTTCTATTATTCTAATCAATGGAACTAGATGTTGTGTAGGAGCTCAAAATTGTGGGCCAAGATACTATAGATAGACCCCGCATTGCCCATGGAATGGAAATCCTCCTGCCCTCCACATGTTGTAAAGTGGTCATCATCGTCCCTTTTTCCCAATCAGTGCGCGTATGGCAGAATCACAGCTGTGAGTTCGTGGGCAAAAAGAAGAGGAAAGAAAAGAGTTTGTGTGCGTTTGCTCTCTGTTTGTGGTGGATATGGGGTCGTTTCTGTGCAGTTACAATGGGACACTCTTTGAACTGGGATGCCTTCCTGGGGTTTGTGGAGAGGATGGGATTTTGCCAGTGGCAGTGGACTGCAACGCCATGCCATGCCATGCTGTTCCTTTCGGCAATGGAAGCAACTCTGGGCTTGGAAGATTGGATCCCAGCCTCAACTGCTTCTCATGGGAGGCGGGCGGGGGACTCTGAGGTCATGCCGAAGAGGAAGAAGTTGGTGATCTGATAGATGATTCTTCCTCTGCCCCTCCCTGCCTGGGGCTCGTCCGGTATGGTCTGGTGGGTGGTGATTGTCGCATTATGTCTACGACCATGGCTGGTACTGACGAGCTCAGCTTCTGCTGCTGCAGCCTCCATAGCTGCTTTGTGGAGGCCGGCCGGACGCATTGTTGTTGTTTGTCGTGTTCTCGGCAGCAGAGTAGGGTGGGTTCGACCTGCTCCTCCCCCGACCTGCGCTGATTGCTGCCTTTCGCCGTAAAGCTGCCTAGTTTTGGTAAGCCAATGTGTCATCCCTGTGGGACCCGACATCGACAGTTGAGAAATCTGATGAGAGGACGACACTCGCCATCAGTTTTTCTTTACGTTGTAACTTACGAAAGTCGATCTACAACACTCCTCTTTTTCTCAGTGGTCGTTGTTAGAGTGCTTCGGAGTCAGAGATGCAAGGACTGCTGCTACTGCTACTGCTGCTGCAGTAGCAGCAGCAGCTGCAGTCATCCTCTCGGCCATGGAGTCTTCCTCTGGATTGATTTGAGGATCGGATAGGCGGCCGCAGGTGGGACGTTTCTGGGTCCAGTGATAGTGATGGCGAAGCTGTGGTCGTGCAATCAAAGATCCTGAGGCAGTTCGCTCTATCTACTGTATCTGAAAGACACTATCTGCTCCTTTTTTAGTTGCAAACAGCTCCCTCATCGGATTCCTCTATCTGCTTTACGCAAGTTTCAACTTCTGCAACATCTCCTTCTCTCAGTGTTCCTATCGCATCACTTTGTTGTCGGTTACAGCTTCGTCTCGTGACGTTTTCGCATCCCCACACAGACATTTACTACCTTATCGGACAGGACTCGGAGACTCGACTTCAGTAGTGCACTGGCAAGACCAGACGTCGAAGCACCGACTTGGAGTCCAGTTCACATCCCGAGTCAGGCGATCTTCGATGGAACCTCGAATCTTCGGTTCCTCTAATGATCCAGAACGCCTATCGAGGGATTCTGTCCTAGGACCTAGAGACCACGGTGTGCATCATTTATCCCTCTCATTTCAGAACTCAGAAGCCTAGGCCAGTTGTGGCAAAAACTATTCCACATTACTCTGTATGACATGAGTTGCACTGTCTGAAGGAAACTAAGCGGCTCCAAATAATAGATTCCAAGACGCGGCAGTGCGTTCGTCGCTAAGGAATGAAGAAGAAAAGCTGGACAATGTAACGTGAGAATCATGTCAACTTGACACCGAAAGATCTCAGAAGAAGCCCGCTAGATACGATGCCGGGGCTGTCTGTCTACGAGTTGAAGGTGAGAGAATTTGTCTGCCCCATCTCATTGCCCAAAGAATAATTGCAAATGCAAATTATCATGTCAGAGAACTTTTGAGTTGAAACTCTTGACAGCTCCTGATTCTTGTGAATCCGTTCCCGGCTATGGTAAAGAGTGCAGTAGTTGTATCACGAGTTCTAGTTCCTCTGAAGCAAGTGGAACCGCTTGATGTAGATGCTGAAACTGCAGCAGGAGGTTGAACCCTCGAACCACTTCGACCTTACTTGAATATGCCAGCGAGAAAGAGAATAAAGCCATGGCTGGTTGACTCATGCCACACAGGACAGGAGGTAGGAGCCTGCACGTAATCGGAGGAGATTGAAGGAGAAGCATTGTGGAAAGGAGGAACAAATAATATATTATGCTTCCTATGCTTCCTGCGACTATTTATGAAGTAAGGATCCAACATTCTTTTCAATTGTCGACCCAACCTCTACTGGGTACGTGTCTAAGTGTACAAAGTCACTCATCTATATAAGGACTGAAGTAGCCTTGAAGTTGCATGCTCTGGATTCTGTAGGCACCGTAGGCACTTTAGATTCAGCACTTTTGGATGGTTCATTCGAGGTAAGTTCGAATGTTACCTGAAGCGAAGCATCTGAATGACGACATTCAAAGAGGGGCATTTATTTTATACAAATGAATTGGCGCAACCAAACTCGGTGATGACCTAAACAAATGATGGCATGCTATGACATCACCTTCTTCGACATATTTATGATCACGGTCAGGTCAGTGCACCATTTGCTTCCACACTCTCCGTCAGACACTCGGTTCGTAGATTCATAAAATTCTCAAAGCTTCTCTGAACCTGCGGCCGTCATGTCAATCCCTTTTTCATGCGGAAAAGGCTAGGGCGAGAGAGAAACTTAGGGCCGACTAGTAATTCACATGTTACAGGGATATATTTTTTCCAAACGTTAAACACGTTAACATTATTCAGAAATGTATTGGGATAAGTTAGATTTTTATTTATAGTATCGTAAGTGGAGTCACACATGTGGGTTTTATCATATGGGTTCCAATTAGTCCATTTTCATGATTGGAAATGTTGCCAGCTAGTTGAAAAGTTATAGATATCGGCCTAAAAAGTTCGGATCCTTGTTAGATTTCAGGCTTTTAATACTTCACATTTCCACATGTGAGGTCAGATATCAAAGCATAATGTTTACATGTGAGAGTAGATTCATGATGAAATGTCCAAGTTCAATATTGCTAAATTGTCACCTAGACCTTTTCTCCTTCGTAAATCATGTTCAATGTCTCTTCATGGGTCAATGTCCATTTATAGAAGCTGCAAAGATGTATACGATTGTACCAAGTATACTTATAGTATAGTAATAGTGATTATAATCAAGTTCAGTTTTATGATATTCTAAAATATCATATTTTAAACTATTCATGTATACATTTATATTGTAATATCTCTCGCGCATTTCGAAACATGATGAGGGCAGACATGTTGGTCTTTTTGAAGAAGTGGGCACGAGGTCAATGTGATTTTTGTGTCCAGTACTTACTATACGTAATGTAATTAGTAAGATGACACTTAACAGTTAAGATTCTTTGTAGTTAATTGAACTGCATCGTAAGAGTAGTCTGTACGGAGACATGACAATGTTGATTCCGCTCGATTGCAATAGTGTAGGATATTGAAGCAGAAGTATGAGGAAAAGAGGACTGTATGCTCCTGCATTCCTTTAGTATGTTCTTTTCACAATTGACATTATTTTTTTCTTCTACTATCACCGCATTGATAAGAAAATTTCCAGTATTATAGTTAGAGGATAATTTGAATTAAAAAAATCATCTCAAGATGCATGGTACACCATAAAATATTAGTATATTGCTTTGGCGTTAGCAGGTTATGTGTTTTCCTCAGTAGTAGATGAATTATAATATGTGAGTCTTGTGAGTCAAAGGACGATTGACATACTCTCTGGTGATGCTTGTTATCCACTTGTTGGATTTATTTCAGATATATGGCATTTATACTTAGCCATCCAGGCTAATTGGATTCACAAAAATATTCAACTCAGGTTTTTTATAACTCCTGTTAGTTTACTTAAGGTTAGTTACATTCGTACTGTCATTTCAACTAAGAAATCTAATGTAACCTCTCTTTGACACATTAGATGTCATGTATAAAGATACCGGTGTGTTTATAGCCTTGATCAAGTGAATCACTTACTTTTTGATAATAAAAACTGTAAGATAGTAAGTTTCTGAAACTTGTTGTATCTTTATGCATAAATGCTGGTTGCCAAGTGAGACATATAATTTAATTCCTTCGTTGAATATGCTTGATATATATTATTTGCTTACTCCTTTGAACTCTGTTGGAGCGAGGCAAGGAGCATATTTTGAGCACATTCTGGCTGAAGAAGAGCTAATGGTGAGACGGTTAAGGAAATATCCTTGCTGACTAGAGCTTGTTGATAACCTTAGCTTCAGGAAGCAGCTTGGATTTTTGACACATTGAGGCTAAATTCGGAATCACATTATACCTCAATAACTAGGTTTTCCACCATCTGGTGCCTAGTCGTCTATATTGTCTATGAAGCTAATTCTGATGATGACGTAGATGAGACCAACCATTATTTTCTTGATAAACTTTTGTCACAAATATCTCTTTAATATTTTTTAACAAGTTATCAAAAGGGGAAAAAATCTTAGCCATGCGCAAAGTTGATTATGACTGAAACAGCTGTAACAAACAAGAGAGTTATGTAATACAACGTTCTTTTTCATTTGAAAAAAAGTATACTCAATGTATGAGTATCATTGTCTTGACAAGTTTCTTAGCACTTCTAAAGGTTTGAAAGTAAATAATACATTTTTGTAGTGAATTTCCATGAACATTCAAGGTAGTTATAACACTGAAGAAGATGAAAAGAATTTGCTTGATGAAAACTAAGTTCTATGTTGCTACAATACGCTTTTTGCGACTCATTATTACAAAGATGAATTCAATAAATGTATTTTTTTGTTAATATTAATTAAAAATTAAAATTAAAATTATATTTTTGAAAACTTGTTATCGAATATCAAGTTACTCAATTTTGATAGTTATGAGTAAATTTTTAAATTGTGAATTATCAATTGAATTGAAAATTCTTGTTCAGTTGACTGATAATGAATAAAACATATTCATAAATAATATTCATTAGATGATCATGAATAATATTTGTACTTTGCTTCATGACTAAGCGAGCTGACATGCTAAAGTCAAACATGGACAGATATTCAAACAAGAGTACAATATTATTTGTGAAAAGGTTATATAAAACCTTTAGAAAGAAGATTGATGACTCTGATATTCAAAACTCAATCATATTAATGATTGAGTTGAATTGAAAGAAAAATTTGCTTTGCATTTATCCAATTAATTTCTACAATTTAATCTATTTAAAATGATTTTTTTGACCATTATGCAAAATTACAGCAGCCTTGAATTGATTTTGATATTTCAGATCTTGGTTTCAAATAAATTTTCAAATTTATACATAGTGATTTATGAGATAGCACTTTATTTTCTCCCATCAGTTGAATTTTTTTTTCAAGTCATATTTTCATCAATAATAAATAATATTTTTTTATACATTCAAATCCTACATCAGTTGTATCAGATTTTTATCACTTTCAAGAAATAAGAAGTATGAGTTAAGTCCACATAATGATTAGACATTCAGAACTTTGCAATTAGATAATGTTGGTTCATAAATATGACATATGTCGTTCTTAAGATTGAATAGCTTGCTTATATATATAGACTTTTTTTTAAGAACTCAATCGAACGCTCTTGGAGCATGAGTTGAGCTCATAAAATTTATCACATTTTGGTGAAAATGTTCAACACTGCAATTGATTTTTATGTTCTCTTTGGTTCTTATTTAATTTTTTATATGATGACATCTTTAAAATTAAAAAATTGTGAAATTTTTTAATTCTCTAATTATAATACAAATATTCTTATTACAAAACAGATCATATAATCCTGATCTTATCTTCAAGAATGTGTTGTTTTAATTTCAAAGTAATATGAAACATTACTTGTGATATTATGTAAGTTGATGGCTATTTGAGATGAATGTTAGGTAACTTTAGAACGTCAAGCAAAGAAATAAAAGTTAAAACTCGTAAACTTGTAAACAACTCATACAAATCCCCAGATACAATCTGTAAATCTATAAAAATATTATTTGCATACTATTAAAACTGAGATTAATTCTGTCAGTATAAATAATGAAACACAAAAATTGTTATCAAAGAAAAGATACTTTCTTAAGGTTGAGATCATAATTTTAAATTGAGTTTGAGGATGTTGAAAAATTTTGAAAAATGTAGAGATGTAACATGAAGCAAAATCATCAATTTGAAAAATAATGAATTTTTTATTGTGATATACAATTTTTTTCGCAAAGTAACTGATATGATTAAACCAAGAAATATTTATGTTATGCTTGACTTTAAAATAGAACATAATATCACTTGATGATGATTTGATAAAAGTTTTAAAAAGTTAAACTAGATAGAAAAAATGCAAAAATAGCTGCATTAGATAAGAATAATACCTGGGAGTCAATCAATATTTTAAATCATCAAAATTTAATATATTTTATATGGGATTACTTGCTTACAAAGATACCTAATAGATCGAATTTTGTTTTTACAAAGTTGATGATCAAAAACTTCAGAAAATGATGGTTTGAATCCAATCAGATTTTTCATTCAGTTTTTTATTGTATTATTTATTTCGTATTTAGTTTAGTTTTATCTTCAATCAAAAAATCATTCGGTACAAAATTTTATTTTATTTTTAGTGTATTTAAAAATTAAAAATAACAATCATAGATATGTTTATGATTTTAAAATGACAATAAGTATAAAAAATGTATTTTTACATGATATCATTTTGAAAAATAATTTAATTTATTAATTTAAATTTTAAATTTTATGATTAATTTGAATTATATATATATATATATATTTTATCTTGATGAAATAAACATTAACAAGAATTTTTTTAAAAATCCTGATATTTTGGTTGTTTGTATATACTAATAATAAGATTTTTTTGAACATGAAGATATATAGATTTCTATACTTTTTTGATAATTTAAAAAATAAAAAGTTTTCAGATTTTGACTTTCATATGTTTGAACACCGTATATTTATGGAATATTTGCATAATGTTTTTATTGTACATCGATCTTAGAATATCATTGTTTGTTAATTTTTTTTAAAATTTCAAGTTGCAGTAATTTCAAATAATATTCCCACAATTAGAAAAATTTAACTGCAAAATTTTGTCTTGTGATTGCTAAATTTTTTTTCAATTAAAGTTTTAATTTATTTCTGTTTTTTATTTAAAAATAAAATAAAAGAAATCAAAGAAGATATTGTTTTACTTGAGAATTAATTAAGATCTTGATAATACATTTTTAAAAAAAATATTTTTATTAGATCAACTTCACTAATAGTTGGTCTATTTATTGTATTAGTATTGGTTGAAAATCTTTTTGATTTATTACGATTATATTCTATAAGAATAAATATAAAGTTTACATGAACATTATGTTTGAAAGTTTGAATCATATATTTGACAATGTGAGTATAATATACATGAATTTATTGTGAATTTTTTGAAATCAATAATTAGAAGTGAGATTATTTATTATATTACATAAATTGCTTATTAAATCTCCAAACATCTTATTTTTCATTAATTATCGTTACTTGTGTGTTGTTGTAAAATTATGTTGGTGTAAAATTTGAAATTCAGTTAAATATAACTTACTTTTTATTGTTAGTCAATGCTAATCAATATTGGTTGCAGTAATTTTAAAAAATAATGTGAAGTAAAATTATCAATACATTTTCATCATTGAAGCTATTTATGTGTTGTTACATATGTTTTCTTTCATCGATCTCATATCTACTTCGTTCATTGTGTGACTCTTGTTGTTTATGCATTCTATCTCAAATCAAAATCACATACATAGTTAAACTTCCAAATAGTGTCAACTCTTATTAGTGACATACTCCTAATAGTGACAAAGAATAGAAAAAACATTATGTTTTAAATTGTAAATTTATCCAATAAGAGCGATAATGTCACTATTGACAATACTGACATGATACTATCTAATAGTGACAAACCAACGTTAATTTTCAAAAAATATTTTGAATTTGATTCTTTACTTCTCTTACTTGCCGCAAACATGGCGTGGAAGCGTACCGCGTAACCTGCCTTGACTCCCTCTTGCTGCCCCAGGCTTTCCTTGCATTCGATCGGTCTCCAAGTGTGCCCTCCCCAACACCTTGCTTTATAGAAATGCGGGAAAAAATGCAAATGATGTTTATGTAAATTCAATCTATTAAAATTTATCTGTCCACATATTTCCACCATATAACCCAGTCCATTTTATTCTTGTTATGTTATTTTCATTTTGTTCTTTCAATCATTTTACATATGAGAAAAGACACAAATCACTATAAGAATTTCCTCAGCTCTGTTTCCTCACTTTTTCATCATTTATAACTCTGATTTATCTTGGACACCTCAGCTCTGCTGCCTCACTTTCCACAATCTATAACTCTGCTTTACACTGACGACATGAGATTACTAGTACTAAAGACAATACGATATTTGAATACGAAGACAAATAGTCAATAATGATAATATCTGCCAAATGATCCACTAAATAATTAGCGGATCCGCTAAACGTGCAATAATAATGTATCTATATGATCCGCTAAATACATCCAACCTCGTGTGAGTGACACCTCATAATAGTGATGTAAAACTCTAAAACTAATGTACCTCACTATTGGGAGGTTAACTCTGTATCGTCTTTATACGATTACTGCTTCATGTGTATGTATGCATTCAGACCCTACCGTTTTTGTTGAGACCGGAAAAATTTTAGAAAAGATTTGATGCAAAAAAATATACTTATATGCCATTTCTGCATGGAGATGTAGATATATTATACAAGCAACAAACACCGCATATAGAAGTATTAAGTCAAGCATTTCATACAATTATCTTATGTTGTGAATGTGTAATTGCAAATGTATGTATGTTTGAGATTATGTGTATTTGAGATCATACTCCTTATGTTCACATATAGCACTTTATGACTCTTGCTGGTACAAAATGAATCTGTTGTTGAGTTCATTGATTGAATCCAAATGTTAGAGTGTATCTCTATGGATTATTAAAATAAATAGATTTTTAAGTTCACTCTTTGTATTTCATGTCATCCTTGTACTACTATGAATCTTCATAAGACAAGTTTGCATGCTCATATAGATTGGATAGAACATGTAATAAGATATTTCAACTTGCTTTTCTACAATAGCAAGGTTCTACCTTGACTCCGGACATTGATGGAGTTGTAAGTGTGAGTTGATACTTGAGCTACAACTAGATTTCATTACAACAATTTTTAGCGTATGACATCATGTGCAGCAAACACTCAATATTGACATTCGATGTTTGCTAGAGCGCGCTTTAGCAAACACCGCGAGTAGGGACAAATATTGTGCAACTAGCATCGGTAGCAAATCTATATTGTGTTTGGAAATTTCAGTTTGTTTTCAAAATGTGATTGATAATCACCCACGACGTATCCAAATTGAATATGTGTCGCACTTGCAGCAGCAGGGGGTTCTAGACAGAGAGACAAAAATACGCCATGATTCTTTCAATACTTGTATTGTTTGCTATACGGGTCTAGGCAGCCTTTAGTGTTCAGGTTGGTTCCCGTGTACGGGCTCGACGGGTGTAACTTTCAGTTGTCGCGGCGCATTACTTCGTGCCCCTGGGGATTTTTATGACAGTCTGACCTTGGACCATGCCAAATGGCATGGTGCACTCGCTGGGCTCTAACCACGACCTCACGCTGGCGAGGATGAGCCGGGGGAGCTTTCTTGCGAGACTGTCTGTCCTCTCGTGAAGAAGCGCGCAGGTTTTATCTGGCGGGTCAAATTGCGAGTCTGCAGAGCAGGGGGTTACAGATTCTGAGACCTGTGCTCGAACACCGGCGGCAAAAGGCGTTCAATGTGCGCAACGTGGTTGGGAAACTCGTCAATAAAGCAGTCCTGTTGGGGCGCTCTGGTCAAATCCCAGTCGTCCTGAGGTCACAATTGCATGGCCTCCAGTCACTTTCGGGCGGTGTTCCTAAGGTGTAGTATCACCGCATGCCTTATCGCCTTCCCCAGCGATGCCGTCGCTGCTGGGGACGAAGTCCTAACGATAATGGTTTATGAGCCTCAACGGCTGGCCCGTCTGGAGCCAAGCAAAACGCATCATTGCCCTAAAAGCTTCACTCGAAGATTCAGCGATGGCGAATGGCTTTGCATCAATGAAATCAATGAATGATGAATGAAGCCCCGAGGAATTTCACTCATCCATTGGGCGACATTTCTCGTTGATTCAGGGCTGCTCGGGTATCAAACGGGGCAGACATGATGCCATCCCTCGCCATCCCTCGCCGGACCGGTCGTAGGGGATCATTTCCAGCTCCAGTTTCTTGTCTCTCTGATCTGGACACGGAGCCTTGTCACACGAAACCGTGGAAATCTGGTCAGCCGGACATGGGGGCATGAGGAATGTATACCGGTCTGCTTAACGGATCCCCACGACACACGAAGGTGGAGGTGGTGGTATGTCAGCAGACCGCCCTGTTATTACAGCCTGGATACGTACAGCCCCAGCAGCACATAGCCACCGGACGCTGGCACTGGCCACAGGCACGAAAATAAAAGAAATCAGATCAGAAGAGAAGAGCAGCAGCGGAGTTCGACCCTTCTTTCTTTCTTTCTTTCTTCCTTCCTTCTCGTGAGACTCTGTCGCTCTGTGTCCTCCTCCTACTGTTCGTGTGCCTGCCTGGACAGCAAGTCCTGTCCCGGTGGACTGCTGAGCTGCGGTTTCCATGTCCTTGCCCATGATGCAACAACTGCTGACCGTTCATGATGAAGCAAACCGGCCACCTGCACGTACTTCCAATCATGTTTCTCTCTCTCTCTCTTGCGTTTTAGCAACTCTCCTACCCTACGGTGTGGGAGATTTCGCCCCGCCACCCGCTTCCATTCTCCTGGCGATGTTTTTTCTAATTGTTTAGTCACGGCCAGAGGGAGCCGCATTGTACTCCCGAGTGCAGTACAGTATTGTACATGCTTGGGGAGTAGTTTCTCTCATCATGTCAGCTATACTTCTTCCCTCCGTGGTAACAAGTGTTTTATCATGGCTCCAAACACGTGCCGCTTGGATTCTCCAATGATCTCGCTACTTAAATATAAAACAGATCTCCTCTTTTTGGCCGGGGGACATTCTAGATCAGATCTCATGGCTCTTCGGACTCGCAATGCGATGCTGAAAGGAGGAAACTATGGACTTGAAAAGGACAGGAGATATTCGTGGGAAACATCATATGATCATTATGCAATCGCCCGAACCATTAGACTTTTGTTTGTCGTGAACCATTTCTTGTTTGTTATATACCTCATGAAGATCTTGTGATGATTTTGCTTCATCCAGATATTTGTGAAGAAATTCCTGAAGGTGCCGGGACAAGAACGCTCTTTCCGCCAAATCTCCCAGCACGGGTTTGGGTCTTTTGCTTTGGATCGTTATCTATCAAAGAATCAAGCGTTTAGCTCGATAGTAATATCAAACAAGTTGCTGCCTATGACTCAGGATGTGACTAGTCTTTTGTCTGTCATTTGAACGAGTAGGGCTTTACGACTACAGTCTGATTGTACTGTGTACAAATTGTACGGTGTGACGAGATTCCGGTTGCCATGTCGCATTCTGCAATTTGGATGCGTTTCGAGAAGTCGCATCCCCTTGTCAAGGCCAGGAACCTGAGGTGAAGAGCTGAGAGCACGATGCAACATCCTTTGATAGCAACAAACTCCGGACTTTCAATATGTTAGTATGCCCCCACGAGTATTCTCTTGTCAATAAAGCATTTGATAAACGTAAGCAGACACCGAAGCTCAGACTATGTTCTGTCGCGACATAATTTGGCAGCACCGATAGTTTGGATCGAGCTATATTAATGTTGATTATTTACTTGATACATTGGCAATGTATCAATTGCTACAATGTAACATTGCTACAATCACCGTAATGTATTGGCCTAAGGCGACTGCTGCTGTGGCAAGGAGTTTTGACAGCGCTAGATGAAAATGACATACGACAAGATAGAAACATTGCTGCACATTTCAGCAGCGGCCAATTTGGAAAGAATCTCGGATGCTTAAAGGGATGAAATCCATTCCAAAAAAGTTCTGATAAGGTCTGTTGTACTCTTTGTGAGGTGGAGGCTTTCAGCTCTGGATGTCCCCACTATTACTTCATTACTGCCGCAAGAAAATGACTCCGTAATATAAGCTCAGAAACGATCACCAATCTCCATATAGTGCGATATATGTAAGGTGGTTGCAAGAGATGTAGCATATTAAGCCCTGCAAGATGATCTCCTGCAGTCCGGGTGGAGACCCAACGTTGAATGACTGTCGATGAGATTGAGCTCATCATTATCACTGGCACCAGACAGCTTGTCAAAACATGGTTACGATGCTTTGTCACTCGTTCCTTGTTGAATTCCAAGCCATAGCATGCCTCCGTTGCAAAGTTGAGGGTACATCGGTTCTGTGTAGAGATTGGGTGCTGCTTTCCCAAAAGCTTGGAGTCCCACTTCATTCCATCGTCAAGTCAAATCCCTTGTCGAGTTTTACTTTTCATTCCAACTTCCCTTTCTCTAGCATCTACTTTATTTTACTTCACTACTTTTTTCACTCTGTCCACCACAAGCTCACCTTCTCTCAACTCCTGTCTACAGCTGACGGAGATGAACACACTCTCTCTCTCCCCCCGACCCAATTCGAACACGTTGTCAAGTTCGAGAAAGCATGGATGCTGGCCACTAACCAGCGGCCAGCGTCAGTGTAATTCGAAACAGAACAAATCTAAAATTCGGAGCTGGTGGGCTGTAGCCTCTATGCAGCCCGAGCTTATTTCATTAGCAGCTTGGGTCCAGCCTTTGCATCTGCTTTGCTGTAACAATCTCGGCTTCAAAAGTAGCTGCTATAAACTGAACCATAGCTGCAGTCTCGGAATTGCTTTGCCCAGATCTTTGTGGCACACGCAGTGTTTAACGCGGAACCCCTTCGTCCTTGGCACAAGGTAGGGGGAGTTGGAAAATAAGTAACTTCGCCTTGTTTAGCTCTTGGTGAGAGAAGTTTATTCCATTTTAATGAATGGGAGAAAAGTGCTGTCAATCCTAATTCGTGCGAATATCTTAGCCACGCCTCTTTCAACTAAGGCGTCCTGAATATTTGGCTCAAAACGGGCGCACTCACCTAAATCTCTTTACTTGATTGCTTGCTATGGGTCATGACAGACGGCATATTTGCTGGCTTCTCGGTCGTTGATGCATCGAGTCCCACAAGTGTACTGTGATGGCGATTAGATTAAAGGGAGAGAAAGAAAACAGAATGTGCTGCATATTCCTCCAAATACATTATGTACTGTCAAAATATGGCCGTCACTGTACAAGTTTACGAGTTCATTCAAAAGACTTACGAACCAAGAGCTCACAGTAAGCTGAGAGCGAAGTGGACAGTCCATTCCCATCTGGTCCTGGCCTGAACGAGATGTATGATGTCATGCTCGACAAGAAACATGCCATGCACAGGAAGACTTCTGATTACATCTGCATTTACTGTTAATTCTTCCCAAGTGATGGGGCCAAATGGATAACAAAAACCATGCGAACACCCCATCAAGCCAAAAGAAACGGGAGACCAGAGGCCAGCCCCGATAGGGATCGTGAGAGATTACCAGAATTTCCAAACTTAATGACCCTGAGTATGCGCGTTTGATATTGAAAAGTCGGTGTGAAGCCAGACAGAAAGCTAGAAACCTTGCATGTTTGCTGGTAACTCACACGGTCGTGATAAATCAATAGTACTCAACCGTGCTCTATGCACAAAGCATATATTTTTGAGTATATATGATAAAATATGATGAAATATAGTATTTTTTATAATATACTATGAATATAATACTTATATTCATATCACGTATCGTATTTACTTTGCGCGCTTAGCTCCAAATTCATCTGTACCCCCCTATGCACGTATTACGTCCACAGAGTTGTGTTATTGCTCCAAGTTGATCGCCTCATGTGAAAGAATACTTCTCTAGTGGTCAGGAGGGAACCAGGTGAGTATACTTTCCTATTATCCACACTGAAGTGAGAACGGAGATGTAAATGAAGCCGCTTGAGGAGCCAGTCGGGCAGATAAAGATATGTGCAAGTTTTGGTTCCCTTCCAAGTCTTGAGCAATAAGATCTTCCCTCAAGACTTCTGGGAAAAAAAACAAGGGTGTTGACAGTGGGATTCGAACCCACGCCCTTTCGGACCAGAACCTTAATCTGGCGCCTTAGACCAACTCGGCCATATCAACTGATGCCTGGGCCTTTTAGATACAAATATATATAACAAAATTTTTATGCGCAAAGCTGTGCTATTGAGTCTACCACATGGAGTAAATTTCCACACCGAAAACACGTCCCCTCGCAATTGACAAACACCTGATCCAAACTTCCATATCCACAAAGTCTTATTCTCTCGATAAATGCAGCCCCTAAGCCTACTGTCCTGAAATACACTAAAAACATTATTGCAATTGTTTCCTCTCTCCTCCATGGCAATGTTCTTTCTCCCTTGAGAACAGGGTAACAGCGTACCCATATGCCTTTGGAGTGGCATCCAAAGGTGTGAAGCTGGGCCTTTCAAAATTCTGAGTCTAAGGTTATTAGGTTCTGAGCCCTGATGCCATTCGCATAACTTTTCGATTATGAAACATTTTGTCTTCCCAGAAGGAAATAGATCACTAGCTCGACGACCTGCTTCGATCATCATCTTCGGAATACAAAAGCGAGTTGACTTTCGGGTGAGCAGGGAAGGGGAGCAGATTCACTGGTCTCATAAAATAAGCTGGAAAAAAGAAAGCTGGACGTGTGGAGAACTACTGCAAGCCGTGCGCATGGGCTGCTGGAAATACATGCGTATTCGTATGCGTCGATCCGGCAGGGGAATGCACTGGATCCACCCACCGATTCGGTTTAGTCCATAAGCCATGCAGTGGAAGACGGTGGCCTGTACGAGGCGAGAATCGTTCATGAGAGGCGCATGCCTGCGGGCGACGGGTGGTTGGCGCAAACCCACCGATGTCCGACCCCTGCCTGGCAGCACGACAGCAGCAGCCCTGCGGCCCTAGTTTGGTGCAGTGAGGAATTTACCCGACTAGGAGTCGTCTGCGCATGCCCTCGAGTACGGTATTTGTTCTCGAGGCTGTTTTTCTGCGTTTTCGCGAGACGATTAGACCGACGAAAAAAGTGAAAAGCTGGAGGCGCCGCTTGTGCCTAGCACGCGGACCGGGACCAACCCTCCGGCTACTTTTCATTAACCTCGCTTCCCAGATTATTGGAGAATCGTGCAAGGGACAGTGCCTCAAAATGCTGTCCCTCATTCCATATGAGAGAGAGAGATATCGATTTCAGAAGGACATGTGGAAGACACACTCTCACTCTCTCTCTCTCTCTCTCTCTAAGACATGACAGTACGACTTTGCCTAGAAAATCAGTTATGGAATTGTTGATCGTCCAATTCAGTTTAGTTGACTTCGAAGAATGTAGTTCACTTTGAGTCATGATGAATACGATCGAACTGTAGTTGTTTGTCAGGTACATGAGGATGAAAATCAATATCCTCTTGTATCCCATAAAATGGTTTTAAAGCTAGTTCACCTTTGGTGCATGACTATTAATAATACAAGTCTCATGCGCTAAGTATGTAATGAGGTCATGAGTCGAAATACGGTCAAAACCTAAGCTCGGAAGACAATAAGACGGTATTCATCCGATCTAAAGAAGTGGTGTGGAGTCTTCCCCAAAATTCCATGAACACAAATTCCCATGTTCTGTTTGATCATGCTCATCATGATAATACGTATCTGATCCCTGAGGTCCTCTCCTCGTATGCTTCTGTGCAATCGATATACCGAAGAGACTGTATTCCTTATGTTCCATAGTGTTACGCACACTAGATACTATCAAGTGCTGTAACTCGGGTTGGTGTATACTCCAGTCCCTACACAGGCCTTGTACTGTGTGCATCAATTATTATTCGCAAGGTGGATTCCAGTTTCTACCTTCGTATCGTCCAGTGAGATGAGATCCGGGCCACGCATTCGAGGTTCGCGGGAAATCGTTCTGCCGAACCACAGGGAAAGCGATTTCGTGTCTGACAGAATATCGGACACCAATCACATTTCATTATAGATCGATACCAAAATTGTGAGGAATATGCTTAATAGACCACTCTCGACTTCAGATATAAGAACCATCGACGACCAGTTGAAGTTTCAGAGATGCTGTTCATGGAAATGTTGAAGGTTCACGTCGTGTCTTCATTGCTGTTGTTCTTTGGCAAATGTTGCAAACTGACGACTCGAACCTTGAGGCTGCATGGTACCTCCATTGATATTCTGGTCACTTCAAGTGCATGGGTCCGATCGATCCCACCTCTACTACGATAAGATCGGAGAGAAGAGAGAGGCCGTCTCTGATCACATCACGGAGTGCTTTGCATGGGGTCTCCTCTCTTGTGATCAGATTCTCGTTTGTACGAAAGGTGATGTGCTTGCCATTCTTCTGGACAAGAACCGCCAAGATTCGGGGAGCTCACTCCAGGTTCTCAAAGAGGATCTCAGAAGCTAAGGTTCTTCTGACAAAGAAAAGGGGATTCGAATCATCACTCCTCGGAAAAAGAGATCAATCGAAAACTGTTACAAAAGTCAGATAGATGATGAATGGTTAACAATAAAAGCTCTTGCTTGCAAGTACCCTTAACTTACATTCTTTACTGCGCGCTCAGCAATGAACACTTTCACATTTTACGCAAGACGGTTCCGGCAAACAGTCAAGTATATTCGATATATGGTTACGTCAGAGGCTGACTTAGGGTTATAGCGCACGAAAAACATCGGGCAAAATTACACAAGCTTTCATTTTGTTGTCGAGATTCTCCGAGTTGGATCAGACTGGGGCGATGGTAATCGAGAAGTGACTGCTCACCTGTGGTAAGCTATCAACGTTGCACTAGGATTGCAGTGCAATTCTTGATTTCTGGACCGTCCCCGCTTTTCGGTGCTCGTGGGCTTTCGAACAGTGTTTCGAACAGAAGTGAATGTGTTCAGAGAAGAGTCCATGGACTTCTGGGTGGAGATTTCTTTCTGCTCAACTGCACCACCTCCATCCTTCCTCGGCATGGCACAATTGTAAAGACTTGGAGGCAGTTTAGAGCTGCAGGAGCATCAGACACTGAAATGTACGTTCCGCCGAGAGCAGAGAGCAGTAAGAATTGGCTGTAACACGAGAAGGTGTTTCTCTCAGATTGTAGTAGAATGGCGAGGTTCATGAGCTCCGCCTACAGCTAGAACGCGGAAAAGGCATAGCGCGCCTGCCTGTCTGCCTGCCCGCCCGCCCGCCTGCTTGCCTGCCTGCCTGCCTCCAGTCCTAGATAGAGCTCGAGACTGATCGAGGAGTCTGTGAGCTCGGCCACTCATGACGAGTTCAGGATTGCATAACAGATGAAGGAAACCTTGGAGCACCGATGGAGCTGTACCATTCTCTATGCTCCAGCTCCAGCTCCACATAATGACGGAGAAATAAGGCTGCTGCTTCTGATTCGCGCCATGAGTACTGGAGGGCAAGTTGTGGAGCTGAGGACGGTGTCTGGCATGGCCATGGTAGCTCAGCTGGTACTGATGATGTTCACACGAGAGCGTGCTCGAGTACAGGCTCTCCATTTTGTCCCACTGCCCAGGATCAGATCATGGTCACGATAAATTACTGCGCTCGTAAAGCAGGCAATCCTCACCAGAAGCCGACGTACGTCCCGAGTAATAATTCCAGAGGTCGAGGTAAACCTCACGAGTTACTCTCGACAGTGTCGTCGCCGTCGTGTTTGACGGCTACGGCTGGAGCAGGCGCCGCTGCCTCCTGTCTTTCCCCTTCCCCTTTCCCTTTCCCCACTCAGGGCGAGCAGCTCACCGCAATGAATGTCGAATTCTCACATGCGTGCATGACTTGGGCCAGATGCGCGGGCCTGCCATTAGCAGACCTCGTTAGCGAGCGCATGGTCGTCGGTCATGACCCCAAATTTGACCGCGGATGCCTTAATTTGGGGCTATTACGTCCAATTTGAGTCCTACGCTGGCAGCCACAGCGGGGGAGCAGACCAAGCAAGCGCATGGCCAGCACGAGCACATTTCTTGCTCGTCAAGACGCCCCGTGACTCACACCTGCGCTCAGATTCGTCACTACGCGCAGCGGACCCGGCGTTCTGTGCTGTAGGGCGACCAGGTTGACGATGGTTCGAGTCACGGAGGCCGATGGAGGGATGGGGAAGGACTTTTGATCCGAGCTAAGCTCAGCTCAGGCTGAGGCTGAGGCTGTGGAATGTTAAGACTGTGGCCTGGAATGTATGCTGGATGGGAATTATTTCGGCCTCGGGAAAGTCGGTCGGCAAGGGAGTGACTAGGACATCGGTTAGAGTTAGAGTTTGTTTGGATGCTAGTGCGCCACTAAGATCTGACGACGAAGAATGTCAACAACTGTCGTATACCTGAAGCGGCGGAGGTTGTCGACAACAAAGTGCCTCAGCGAAAGTGCCAATGATATATCATCACGATGCCCGACGAAAAGACAGTGCAGTAAAAGCTTCGGGTGCCGCAACTCATCGGCACCGACTCGGAAGGTACATCCGCCGACGAGTCAAGCATTCAATTGCGTCTGCTCGATGGTGTCACCCGCTTCGATGCAATGAATGACGCGTGCGGGTGAAAGTGCAATCGCCAAGGTAAATCCCATGGTCGGGTGGGTTCCGAGCACGTACCGCGATGAAGAAGTCCATAGTAGCTACTGGATGCATTCGGCCGGCGTCACGTCCACCCGTGCACATTTCACGCGAAGCACGAAGTTCTACCGCTCGTGCAGGAGCGAGAAAAAGTTGGTCTGAGAGGCAATGATTCTCAGAGAGAGAGAGAGAGAGAGGCCGAAAATTCGCATCCCTCGATAGAAAGTACAGCGGCTGTTGTTGTTGTGATCGCCACTGAGAGGCGACACTTGGACTCTTGTTCCAAAAGCAAATTTGAGGTTTGCTGTTGCCCAGGATGTACAGAACAGACTCATGGAGATCATCATAACTCATCACAACCGAAATTACTGAACTCTTCCACCAGTACTGTTCCGAAGGGATGGATGGATGGTTCGCGTCAGCATCTTGGCTTCAGAGTTTTGAGGAGCCAGAATGCTCCGATGCCATGCCCAGAAGTACTGAAAATGACGGCACTTCTTCTGGCCCAGGAGAATCTGTGTTCATTCGGCAACGAGGCACGAACGAAGGAGCCGGAGTCCGGGTCCAAGATGGTGGGAACCAGAATCTTGGCACTCAGCTCAAAGTGCGGGTTGTGTTGTGCTGCAGTCGTGGATCTCTCACGGAGGGAGGGACGCAGGGAGGGAGAGTGCGGTGGAATGAGCTAGAGCTGGTATGGCATGCCCGCAGATGGTTCGGGATTCCTTTGTCACCTTTGTGAGCTCCAGTTGTCAGACGGTCGGGGCCTGTACTTTCGGAGGCCCGTGGAGCAAACGAAGGCGGCCCGGGAAAGCCAGCATTCACGACACTTGTAGTTGGGGCGAAGGCAATCATCACGATCCCATCTCTTGTGTCTCTCGCGCAAGCCTCAAAGCTCGAAGGGAATAATTGTGCAGTCAAAGAAAAAGAAAAAAAAAAAAAGCGCGACGAAAATTCCGGGCCTAAGAATTTTTTGCCCGCCCGTCGACATGAACGCAATGACTGCCTTTCTCGCAGTTGGTCAGTCAGTCGGGAGAGGCAGCTGCGTCTCACTTCTATCTTCCGGATTTCTTCAGAATGGACGAAATCTTCTCACAATCTTTGCGAGAGTAGGTCATCGATATGCAGACAGGTGCTTTTCAGGAGGTGGTCTTTTACTCTTGCGATCGACCGGATCGAGAGATGGAGACGAAGACGAATACGGAGGAGAGTGGCAAAGCCTGAGGAGGCAAGTTCCGAGATGTCGGAACACATCAGAGCGAAAAATGCAGTAAACTTCCATCGTCACTCAGCGAGTGGAGGGGAGTGGTGGCCCAAGTGGGAGGGCTCGGAAATATCAACGCGAGAGCCTGCAGCTGGACGAGAGCCAGGGTTGCAATTTCCTGCTGCCGATGCGGGCGTCATCCATGAGCTCTCCATTGGAGAGTTGCGCTCAGCAGAGCACCCAGAGAGAGCTCCAGGGAGAGGGTTTAGAGGGGGGGCACGGCCGGACGCCGTATATACAGACAGCCAGCGAAGGGAGCGGGTAGAGACAAAAGCAGGCCGGGGCACGGGGTCCTCCCGCTCTTACCACCGGATGGCCCAAAAGGTCGCAGAGCACGGCGGGGCAGCGCGGGCAGGGCGGACCGGACCGGACCGGAAGGGACCGGAGCGGGCCGCGAGAGAGAGGAGCGTGCCACTTCGACTCCGGACAGCACAGCAGGGACGAATCCTGGTGATGTGTCAAGGGCATGCTGCCTCGTAGATCTGGCCAGGACGTCGGAGCAGCGCGGGCTGCGCAACTTGCACCTCACACGTCACACCTCTTTGCTGCAAAAGGTCCTGTCGCTTCTCGGGCCCGGCCCGGTCCCCGATCCGCTCCGTCGATCTGTCTGCATGCGGCCACATTCCTTTGCGGGCTCCTCCGCCAGCCCCGCTCGCCATTCCGGGCCGGGTCGGGGCCGCCCGCGCCATGCCATGCCCCTCCCCGTGCCGCGCCCGCTAGATTATAAGCCCCGGCCCCCGGCCTCCTCCGGCATCACAACAATCGCTTTCTCGTCCAGGCAGGCCTCTCGGCCCCCCTCCCCTCCTCAAGCAACAGGTGTTCGACCCTCCTGCCTCCTCGCTGCGGAGGCGCGAGCAATACTTGTCATATTGCGGGGCTGGCTGCGGGACTCAAAGCTCCACCGCATCGGGATCTCGGCTGCAGCAGCAAATGTCCAGTTGACTGCCGAGAATGCCCTCAATCTCTCGCGCCGTCTAACGGTCGCGGTGCTCGCAGGCCGGCGCCAGCTTTTGGTTGCGAGGTTTCCCTCGAACGTGCGGTTTACGAATACGAATTTCGAATCTTCGCCGCCGCTCGCCGCCTTGTGAGTTCTCTGCACTATCCGTCGAGCGTCGCTCGTTGTCTGATCGCCCTCGTCATTGTGCGCGTGTGATTCGTGGCGGCACTGGCTGGCTGCGGAGCCTCTGCCGCTCGCTGTTCGTACTCGTGTGCTAAATTGAAATCTCTGGGTTTTCGTCGCACAAGCTGCTCCCGTTCCGCTTCTTCGTGCATGCGCTCCTGACGATTTCCCGAACCCTGAGTTTGAATTTATTTCTTATTGATCCTCGCACTGGATGAAATGGCAGTGGTCGTATATAACAGGCACTCGCAGCGTCATATCTTCTCGGGCTCTTTGAGGAGGTATTGAATTGCTGCCAATTTCGCAACAATGGGCTGGGCTCTCGCTTTGCACGGCGGTGCCGGTCGCATCTCGAAGAGCTCCATCTCCCCAGCTGCAAGAGAAGCCTCCGAAACGGTCCTTCAAGAGTTTTTAGATGCAGGGTGCGCCGCGCTTTCTGAGGGCAAATCAGCTCTCGACGTCGTGGAGCTTGTGGTGAGAATCATCGATACCTTCGTTCAGGCGATTCTAGGACTTTCGAGGAATTCTCTTTCGCTTCTTGCAAACCCATTCGATGATTGACTGATAGCATGGTGCGCTTTAGATCCCCCAGTAATCAGCCTCTGGAATTTCATGTTCGAATCAGTCGGCAGTCAGATGAGATGCACGTGAGACAGAGGATCATTGCGAATGAAAGTCCGTGTTCTCGAATTCTGGAATGCCGAAAGCCATTGCCGCTTGACTTGCAACTCCTGTCGGACATGACATGACAGGTGAGGTTGCTTGAAAACTGTCCTCTATTCAACGCGGGAGTTGGTGCGGTGCTGACACAAAGGGGCACAGTGGAGATGGAGGCGAGCATAATGGACGGCGCCACTCGGAAAAGCGGAGCTGTCTCAGGCGTCTCGACGGTTGTCAATCCCATATCTCTGGCTCGATTGGTTATGGAGAAGACTCCTCACGTCTACCTTGCATTCGAAGGCGCCGAGGCTTTTGCGAAAGATCAGGTGGGTTGAGAATTTACTATGCGCTCTATAGTTGCTCGATACCATCTGCAGCTCAATTCTGCAGCACCGCTTTCTCTTTCTGTGCTGCACTGTCGGATACTTCCAGAAAGGTCTGCAGGTCAGATCTGCTGCTGCTCTGTTCTCTGCAGTGATAGTGTCCCTAGAATCTATCCAACTGGAGGAAGCTGGCTCATACTATTGGAATACGAATCAACAGGGACATCTCAGAGTTTCACCTGAACATGAAAAGAGCAAGTCCTGCCTTCGCAGGTTCTCCTCTCATAAACAGTAGGCGCATTCAGAAAGCGCCTGCTTGAATCAGAAATATAAACTGTGGAGAAGACTGACGTGCGAAGCTTGTGCTGCGAACAGGGTGTGGAGACTAGAGACGAGAGCTATTTCATCACCCCGGGAAACAAAGAACGACTGGCCAAGGCGCTGGAAGCTGGACTGGTTCTGGTAAAGCTCTCCCTCCCTCCCTCCCTCCGCTCCTGCCTCTAGTTCTGTTATGGCTTCTGCAGGTAAGTAGGGAAACGGTGTATTGGAGTGCTCTGATACTGAATAGGCTCGAAAGCTGGCGGGTGTGTCGTTAACAGTTGGCAATATCCCGGGGAAAAAAAACTCGAGGCAGTCCGTTTCGATTTCAATGGTGAATGTCTTCTAACAATATATTTGGTTGCAGTTGGACCATAGCGTATCGACCGATGGACCTGAACATGGAGGTTCCCGCGAAGTTCTTCAAGCGGATGGACATTCCGGACGGGATTATCCTTATGCGAATGGGCACGCTGCAAATGGGCATCCAATAGCTGCGGGAGCTGAATTCGAAACCGTAGGGTGTGTAGCAGTGGACATCAATGGGCACTGCGCAGCAGCCACTTCTACGGGTGGGCTTGTGAATAAAATGGTGGGTCGAATTGGAGACACGCCTCTCATCGGCGCTGGTACTTACGCCAATGAGTTCTGTGCAGTCTCCACGACTGGCAAGGGAGAGGAAATCATACGATGCCTTTGCGCCAAAGAAGTAGCGTCATTGATGGAGTACAAGTACCTGCCCCTGAAGGAAGCCACAGACACCGTTATATGGAAAAAGCTGGGTGAGGGAAACGGGGGGTTGATCGCCGTTTCTAGCACCGGAGAAGTGGCCATGACTTTCAATACTTTGGGTATGTTTCGGGCGTGTGCTACAGAGGACGGCCACCGCCAGATAGGAATATGGAAAGATGCATGTTACGACGATGATTGTCCTAGCAACGGAAATGGCTCTACGAAATCCTCTGCCGTAGTCGTATTCGACGAAAATCACCACGGCCTTCTGAGTAGCAGTAATAGTAATAGCGACAACGAGCTATCACAGTGAGTGATTCCAGCATAATCTTGCAAGTATCACTGATGGTGAAGCCGAGGTTCTGTTAGACAATCTGGTTCATTCTTCTGGTCATCATCCTCTTAGATGTATTGCCTACTCTTAGTCACAGTAATTCTCTGTAATTTATGTAAAACGATTAGTAAAGCCGATTTTTCCCCCTATTTCCTCCTCAGAGACTTGAACGAGCCGAGAGGGAACCACCAAACCAAATGCCCTACAGGAGAGAAATTTGTTTTGTGGAGGGAGGGACTGGATCAACATATGACAGTGGAAATGCCGATCTCGCCCATGGACAAACCTTGCAGTAAGACGGCATCAAAATGATGTCCGACGCTGACGTCTCCTCACTCATCCTTCAACACCGATATTCGCTGAATTTGTCAGGAAGCGTGACAGGTGTTGCCTGTTCCAAGTTCCTCGGAGGGCTTTCTCCTACGAGAAGGACAAGTCAAGCTGGGGCCGTACTAGACGTAGGGATAGTTCAGGATGTCCAAGTCCTTTAACTTTTACATGTACCTGCATGAATTCGGAATCCATGTACCCCTTGAAGTAGGCCGAGCTTGGTAGGGGCCAACCAATATGGGGATCCATGTCTTACACCAAACCTTGCCCCTCGTTCACTATAACCCTGTAACACTGAACGAGGGGCGTCGAGTAATAAAGCAACGACGATGCGAAGACCCCGTCTAATCGCACAGGGATGAAACCAAACGGATGACACGGGGCCCCATTGTGTGTTAGTGCTAAATTTGTGGTCCTTCCTTATGGCCAGCCTTTTTCTGTTGTTATCTTCATAGCACCCGAATCATCGTCGCATATTCTTCACTTCAAATGAAAATCCATTTCCAAACATGACATTGTCTGTAGAATGGTATGTCTTTTCATGCTCGGGACGTACTGCTCAAGGTCTCAGATCCTCGATACGGTCAAAGAAAAATAGAATCATTGAACAGAAACACCCGATAATAACGCATGGACCCCGTCTGTTACTCACCCTCTTAAGCCTCATGATGGAAAGCGCTGAGGTCAATAGGATATAAAAATGAATGGAAAATGCCATAAACCCGAGGAACGAACAAAATAAACGGGAGACCAAGGTCTACTACCATTGGGGGATGGTGGAGTATTTGCTCGTAAGTTACACGATGAAAGCATACACTTTGTGAAACTTGAGCAGATTAATATAGTGGCAATTAACATTTAAGTACTAATATTACTACTGTTCCCATTGGGTTGATCTAGCTCTCCATCACTGGTATGCTTACATGCTAACATCTTCATGGAGATCAGTATTGCTACAGCACAATGTCGCTTACACTATATTTTGATAGACGCTTACACTATATTTTGATAGAGTGGCTGAGCATGTTGAAGAGAACAATAATACACCATGATCTCCGAAACAAGCGTACGTGGTTACTGATCTGAGTGGAGACATTATTGGCATTACCTTCACTAGTAGACATGACACTAAGACCCGCAATTATTAAGGATCATCAAATAATAAATCGTCAATATATTGGCCTTGGAGATGCAAACATGCTTTTAACAAGATATGAAAAGTTCGATTAGAAATTGTGCTCAACTCTATCGTGCTACACTCATTATCTTCCTCTAATGGATATTAAATATGCGTCCAAGCGATATAGCCTATGCTATCAAAAGAACAAGTATCAAAATTCTTTTTGTGATAATAGTTGCAGACCTGCTATTTGCAAATGTTATTACTTTATTTTGCAGTAACTCGCGAGTCCTTATTGTGCTGACACAGAGAACCTGATCTTGCCATATTTGACTTCAAGATTTCGTGCCAGACAGAACAGCAACACATCAAGTGGGAGGCTACACAACTACCTAGCATCGAACTATGAAGAGCCGGTGGAGACAAATAACATGGCAGACTGCGAGTAAAATAGTGGATAAAATATGGATTTCCATGTAGGTCGACCACTGTTGCTGGTGAGGTAGTTACTGAGTCTCCGAAAAATCCAAACACGCCGTGCGCGAGTGCATGCAAGTTCTAGACTCATGGGATTTGGTTCTTGATCTCCTCATCAACACTTCTAGCATCGAGCACCTTGTCTTTGATTAGCTAGGATCTTCGATAGTTCTTGGCATCTTGTCTTTGATGTTTCTCTTGTTTTGGTCACAGGAGATCCTGAATAACCGGATTGAGATGATTTCATTGGAACCTCGATAAATCAGTAACACTGGAAGATGTAATGGGCGGGCAAGAAAACCGAGACGATAAACCTCTATTGACTTCGGGCTGCGGTGATATTAGTAACTGCTGCGAAAGTTTCGCTTCGAGATTATAAGAAATTTAGAGACTGGGTTTGGCTGCTTAAGAACCAAAGATAAATTAAATAAAAACTCATCTTTCAGAGATTTGAGGGATTTAAATTTAATGATCTAGAAGAAATCAACCCTTCCTAAACGCAGAAATGTAATGCATATAGTATATCCTTGTTATTTGTGTGACATCTGCTTCCAGTTAAATGATGCAAGGTACTTGCCCGGCAGTAAATTGGTCTTAAACGTTTCTGTATTCAATATCACTGAAAATTCGTTTACTAACTTCGAGTAAATCATCACTAGCTGATTCATTGGAATAAATTATTGTGTTCAAATTTCAAAACAGTTTATTGGAATTCATGTTATTTACGCGTGAAAGGGTAGTTATTGACGAATATTCCTTCAGAGCTTGGCTAACAAGGAATGCCCTCAATCAAAACAAATCAAACCACCTAGAGGTCTAACAGTTTATGAATTGGATTTATAGGATTACTAGTGCAACGTGCTGGCTGATTAACTCTGGCCAGTCTCGCACTATCATAGAAAACTCAACACAAGAATATCTCGCAAAAATCAAGATATTGACTCAGAAGATACAACTCACCATGCAACAAATATCTAGCAGATTCAAAGGATAGGCGATATTTTTGAACATGGAGGAAATGCTTCAGGAATTGAATACAGTCAGTATCGACATCAATAATCATCAAGTTTTGACCAAAAGCAATGTGAAACATTGTTCCTTAATAGCAAGAACTGCTCTTAAATTCGATACTCAGCAAGAAGGCTATAGTAGTTGCAATGCGGTAGTTATGCTCACAAATTGATGGATAGTTTGTGAAGAGAACCTGTGATCTGGTTCTTTTAAATATACATAAATGATTTTGCGAAGAAAAATCGACCACAGTAACATCATGTTCTTGATTGAATCAAGCAGACGTAACCAAGAAATGTTGTATAGCTGGTAAGAGGTCCAGGAATGGAAGCGACATTCGAGATGTCCAGGTTCGCAGTCTGATGCACCTGTCGATTAGTCCCAGTTACAAACAACGACCTACTGTACCATTACTCGGTAAGGAGAGAAAGCAACCACTACCAATCACAGCTGCCCAACTATCACCTTATGGTGCTTTCGTGTTGGAGCTGCTATATATGAAACAGATTTGCAATTTGTTTGGACACAACACCAGGCCAAAGTCAGAACAATCAGCCACATATGCATAACAATGACCATCTATGTACTCTCAAGTAACTAGTAAGATTCAAGTTCAACAGCAGTCAGGAAATCAATTAGCTTCGAAGCACCTATGTTTCTCACTACATTCTTGCTCACATCTCTGAGACCCGGTTGTGTCCTAAGCTTGAGAGCATCAATGTATTGGTAGAGCTGTGCCCAAAGTCCGAAAAATCGCGTGCAGTGAAGATACATTTGTACCAAGAAAACAGTGATGACAGTCCAAACTTGTTCACAACTGCATTTATCATATTATTGTTTTCTAGATCTAGATTCTTAAAATGATTATTTATTTCTCTATTTAATCTATGAACGATTTTTGTAAAAAATATTCTCAATTAGTTTCTTGAGTTTGAATCTTCAACCTGGATCCTTATAATCCAAAACAGCAGCGCTGCAAATCAACGTCAATGAATGTTGAGCAACCAGTTTCAAGAGACTAATTGAGCAATTTAAAATAGAAACTAACTGGTGAAAATGGTAATAAGATGTATACAGTTCTGAACAAGTTTAGATTTTGATTACTGTTCGCTCAATCACCTCTTGAGGTGAAATTTGGCTTACACCGCTCCGCATACATCTGTGGAGCCTTGAATCACATCTGCTCATCATTAGCCAAAATTTACATTGACAGTTGAAGGATGATCGATGTACTAGATGACATCCATTTGGGAATATTAGCTGCCATTTGAAAGTATCAGCTGCTACTTTTCGTACATACAGTGATTGTTTGATAGTTAATGTTCTTAGTTATTTTCAGTTTTCTGGGACTCCGAATAAATTACATAAGGTTTCAACTCTCGGTGACAAGCTTACTTTTCACTTGATGTGAATTTGACTCACATTTCTACAATTCTGTAAAGCTTTGAATCTCCATTTCTTACTTAAATTTTATAGTCATATCAAAAGAGAATAATGAGTTAAACATAACAGGATAATTTCTATCAAAACATAATAATTTTTTATGTGAATTTATCAATAATGGTTTTTATTCAAATTTATACTGAAATTTTATTGTTAATGCTATGACTCTCGTTTTCTTACAAATTCGATTGTATTTAATTTTATAGCTATAATTTATTTAAATGTACTATATATGATAAATTTTATTATAATTTTTTATCTGTATCATTTTAATTTCTAATGAAAATAATTATAGTCACAAATAATCTTCTCTAAAGAAGTCATTATACAATGCAGTCATTCCATCTAAAGTTAAAACTGAGATTTTAAAAACCTATTGCTGAATGAATTTCTTATTTTATGAGCTCAGATGAAGTGTTTTTATATTTTTTTATTTCTTTCAAAATGACAAGTTTATATCCCACGAACAATGATATTGCAACAAGTCATAAAAAATACAATAAGCATAAATGAGCATCTAAAAAATCTTCTCCTCGCATGATTCTGAACTTGTGACTTATAATAAGAGATGCTCTACGTAGAAGACTAATTCTTGTAGATTTAATTTTAAAAAAAAAACGGTTCCTTATATCAAAGAGTTTGACACTTGGTTTAGATAATAAGCTATTGTTAATTACCTGATGAAAGTGTCAAAGTTGTAAACCATCGTTCTATATAACTTCAAACTCAGAGAGAGAAACACATAGTACCCTCTCAATATACATCTTCATAGTATCCACTAAGTATTCAATTAGGATGGATGATGGATAATTATCTGCTTCAAATGATGCCAAGCGAAATATCCATAAGCACAACATATGCAATAATAAGGTGATTCCTATGAAACCAAATGTCATACTTTCTAACCTCATTCAACTGCAGTGCATATACGATATCGTTTCTTGTCATCATGAAATTACATCCATATTGGGATTCTGGATAACTATCATATACAATCGAAATGAATAATAAACGCAATCACAAGAGACCATGCCGTTACATGTGAAAATTGAGGATACAAGTGGATGGACCAACCCAGATTGTAAAATTATCAAATGACATATATTGATTTATTCAGTAGCAAAATTGCGAACAAATTACAAACCCCTAAAAGAAATTTTTTCGTGGGGCCCTATGGATCTAAAACTGCCTTGTTCCTTGCTACAAGACCCTGTACCCATCTTCAGTCGGGAAAATATTTTGCATCTGCAATCGTTATGTTACTTCGTCTGGAAACTATCACTCAACTGCACATGCATTCCGAACCAATGAACAAGGGGACTAATACAGCTCTTTCATGTGTACTATCCCAACTCACCAGCTACAACCAAAGTCGGCACCGGTGTCCGTCTCCATCCAGCTCGTGAGTTAGACTCAGAATGCACTGTCCGGAATGTACCGAGGTAGCTCCTTTCATCTCTTCACTTGGCATCCTGAAATGGTACAGAAGTCCGAAGCCGTCGTGTGGTTCCTGTAAGGTGTCATCGGTAGGGTATACTTAGAGCTAGCATGAATACTGTCATGAGGATTGAACCTTGAAACTGGATGACGAATCTTCCAATACGGTTAATCAGAGCCACTGAGAACCAATATCCAGGAGCTGTCGAGCAGAGAGCGATAAGAAACTGAGCTTTGGAAACTCAAAACTTCTCCGATTGCATTCATGGATCCTGCCTTCAGCAACCACCCAACAGCTGAGAAAACCACGGTCTGAAAGAGGTTCTGACTGTTATAGGCAGCGTCGAGTATGAACCACGTTGTTGTTGTTGTGTCCAGCAGTTGGAGTTCATGTCTGCTCTGCCTGTCAAACCGAAGAGTCCAAACTCTCTCTCTCTCTCTCTCTCTCTCTCTCTCTCGTGTGTTATAGGCTTCACTTTCCTCATCATATCATTCTCGAAGGTTGTTTCCGGGACTTTTAAAGTTTTCATCATATGCTCTGCGGCGTTTTGAATATTTCCAGCTACCCAAGTGCAGTGTAGCGAGCCGTCTCCGGCATCTTCTTGCGGTAGTAGTAAGTCGCTGCAGCGGGTACAGCACCCAATATGAAAGTGATGCGCCATTAGATAAGAAATTTGCTTCGGGCGCGGTGGACCTGATTTGATCCTCGTCAAACGAAGGACTAGGAAACCGAGTTTCGAAGATACTCGCTGTAATGGATCCCACTGCTCCGGGCTTAGAAGTCCAAAGCCTTGCATGGGGAACACGGCAGCGATAAACGCTCCCCTGGTTTGGTATTCAAGTAATCGGACATGATTGTGGCGGACAAAGAGCAGTCACCTCCAATTCCAAAACCCAGCCAGAATCTTAAGAAGCACAGGGTTCCCATTAAGGCCGTCGCAGTTGAGCCACAAGATAGACCAGAAGCAATCGAGCACACGATCATGATCATCAAACTCATTCCGTAAACCTTCTTCCGTCCCAACTTGTCTCCAAGCCAACCAAAAAATAAATTCCCATCCAAAGTTCCGCACAATGCCACACCGCTGACAACCGAGGCTACATGAGCAGGCAGTCTTCCAGGTTTGTGTGTACCTGAATCATAGTAATACAATCTTCCTACAAGCTTTTGCACCACCGCAATGCAGAATAGGTCGTAAGCATCGATGAAGAAGCCCATTCCAGCTATGACAAGTGCGGTGAAATGACAAAATTGCGTCTTCGCATGATCGAGAGCTGTCAGGACCTCCAACTGCTCCTTCTCTCCGCCATTCTGACAACCTATTTTCTTAGCAAGCTCCCCGTCACTTGCGTGGTCACCGTGGCCAGTTTAGTTTTCCCTGCTTATCCTTTTCTTGGACTTTCTGTGCGTTCCAACCCGCCAGTTCGTTCCAGCTACGACAACAATTCTCTGACAGAAAGACTGTACACATGAACCTTAGCATACCCGTCTTAGTCGATCACATTCTATTTATGAAAAAAATCCTGCACCAAAGCACCAATCCTCTCCGAGTCCAAAGTTGATTCAAGATGGATAATGACATACTCAAAGAACGTCAAAAACTACATCTTCGCTGGCAACAAAGATGACGAATACAAAGGCCATACATCAGACGCAACTATCAAGATGATTGCACAATTGACTTACCAAATGGATAGGAAGTCTTCATGTTGACACAGAAGGAATAAATCGACATCCTGCTTGAACTTCTCACGCTTATCGTCCATGAACCTGTCGCACAACTCTCTTGGATCCTCACGACCAATGTGCGGCAATGAAAAACCATACACGATCTCTTCGTACAATGACTCTCATTTTTCGTATCGAGCAGTGCATGCATGCGTAATGTTGATGCGGTCGATCCGAATCCAAGAGACGTCGGTCCCATAATTTCCAACTTCCCGGTCCGTGCAATTTTTCTTGCTACTGATGACAAACAGGAAATCAGCACGAGACGAGTGGTATTGTGGTTTCGAGGCTCACGGATGAAACCTGATCTCAGGAGAATTCAAATCGCAGCGAACTGCGAATCTAGATCGAGGCTTGAAGATCGTGACTGCCCCAGGCACGAAGCAGCAGCCGTGACTCTTTTCATTGTCAGGGAACAAGAGACGGTAACGACAAACAGTCCTCGAGGCCAAGTGCGGACGATCAGAGTTCATCCTTTGACTTTTCACTCCGATTGAAAATTTATCCTAGTCAGACGTCCTCGAAGCCTCAGCAATTCTCAGAATTTACAGGCGATCAGATCCACTTCAGCTATATGTTTGACTAACTACAGCAGAATACTTGTTCTGAAGCCGCAAGATCTCATTTGTAACGCGAGTGACGCATCTTCTCATGCAGTTTTGGTCTAAGAGAGACACATTGCTCAAACTCTCAAACCTTTCTAACTCTCAACGCACAGAAATACAGGCCGCGCAATTCGGACTTCTAGGGGCGTGAGAAACGGGTACCGCATGCAGTAGATTAGATTCATTGGACAGTAGATGAAACACGGTAATATTATATCTTTGAAATGTTCTTCAAGTTTACATAATACTCTCAAGCTGTGTCTGTTGATAAGCACTCAAGTGGAATTGTAAGACCACCCCATATATGGTCTGATATTTTGCCTTCTTCCCATAAGCTATGTCACAAAACTGATTCTTTCAAAATTTCACAACTGATCATGATGTCTTCACTTCTCACTTCAACTCACCTCTGAATTTTGGCAATTGAAGTATAAATCTGTAGCAGGAACCTGTGGCGGGGGAGATTTTGTATGAAGAGGAGACATGTGCTAAATAGTGTCCATGGCTATCTTTCCTGCAGTGTTCCGAATGCAGCTGCAGCGGGAAAAGCAGCAATCAGTTGGATTTAATTGTGTAAAAACATACAGAAATTTTTTTAAAAATTAAAATGAAAATCCATCGTATTAATGGTTATTATTCATATCTAATTACTCATTAAACTTAGCCATTCATTTGAATTAAAATTAAACTTTCTTAGTAATAAATTAGAATGCAATCTTTACTCTGATTATTTTTTATTTAGATTTTAATATTTCCTTTTGTGAAATGTTTGTTTGATTAGAACAATAGTATGAAGATTGTGATAGACTTTGTACAGACTTGTATATGCCTATTGAATTTCGGTAGATTGACCAATTTGAAAAGTACTGAGACAGTTCAAAAAATGAGAATAAATGTACTTTAATCTAATAATCAAATAAATAATATGCATTTTTTTAAAGTTGTTTGCAAAAATTTACTATTAGAGATTGATACTAAATCTTTTTTAAGTGATATATTTCAAACAACATAAAAGAGTAAGATGATAACAATTGAAATTGAAGATACATACACAAAAATAAAAACACAAATTTTCTAATGAAATTGTGCAATTAATGAAAAAATGTAATATTGATGCAATATTGTCACTTTTTATTTATTGTAATCATTTTTGTTGAAAAATTTATTTTTCTTGATTTTGAATTTACAATTTTCTATGTTTCAATTTCTTTGCACTTTGAATTTTCATCGTTTTGATTTATTTGATTTTTTGGCTATTTTTTTATTCAATGCCTTGTTGTTTTTCCTAATAGATGTTTTGATATCTTTTTAGAATTTCAACTATTTTTGTTCGTGGATATTTAAGAGTTTGATTACTCTATCTTTACAACATTTTTTTATTCATCTTCAATGTATTGAGATTTTTTTAAAAAAAATATTTTTAACTTTGTAAATTTTTTGTGTATCAATATTGTTGAGGTTAACTCATGTTTTGGAACAAACTTTGGCGAGCTAAGTTTAGCTAACTCCGCTGACTTGGGCTATATAACCCCGCAATTTTTACACTGTTAAGTCTTCACTAAATAATAAATTGAATGTTCCGTGTTGAATACCGTTATCTTGATGTCATGTATCCTTGTGTGTTTTGACTGTCATTATGTTTTATTAATTATCTGTTGATTACAAATATCATATTGTCATCAAGATGAACAATAAATTATTTTATGTTTTTATGTTAAGCTAGAAGATATGATTTTATACAAAGATGGCATTGCATGATATTGGTTGCATGCAAATTAGTATTTAATTAACTTGAGTTAAAAATTAAAGATCCAATATTACAATAATAAAATACCATATTTATTTGATGCAGTAGAATGTGAATATGTGATATGTTTATTCACATTCTACTAAGTCAATGAATATCATGACAAGAAAATATAGAGATTGACTTAAAAAATAAAATCGAACAACATACATCAAGATTGCATATTATGACAAAATACTGTTGCCAAAAGCAGTATTTTACTTATAATTTGATTCATTGAATTGACATTCAAATAAACAAGCAATAGATTTTGAGCTGTTAGATGCTTCTCTTAGTCCGACCTCTAGAACCGTCATCTCTCTTGTGTAACTAATAATTTGACTTTGTGATTCTTGCTCGCTATGTAAACCAAAGCAAAGCAGAGCCACACTTGCTAACAGGAGTACCTCAGTATAATATCGTCTCTGCTTTCGAACATCTATTTACACCAGTTCGATCTATTCATGGAGGAAATGAAAGTATATATCAAAATATATAACGACCGGTGCGTTTTCCAAAAACAATCCGATCTACTCGAAGGCGCGGAATAAATACTACAAGCCACGAGACTATAAATAGAGGCACTACGTGCTCTCCCTCTCGTTATAGTCTTCGTGCGCTTAAAACAAGCCATTGCCGGCGCTTCAGGTACTCGACTATAGAGAGAGGCCCCGGGACTGTCATACAAAAAAGTGAAAAACAACTGACAGGGCTTTGAGATCTAACAAAGGGACGAGGGTTGCGACTTTGAGTAGACCGCAAAACCGGCTGGCACACGGTGTCCCTAAAAATTTTCATTGTAGTATACGATGAAGTTTAGTTGTGCTAATTTATTGTGAGAGAGATATAAATAAAAAATATCTATGTATAGCAATGGTTGCCCTCGCACTTCAAACATTGTGCAACTTTCCAACCTACATCATTCAGATTATGAGACTGATGAGTTACCAATTACCCGCGAACATCGTCAAAGTCCAACGCTTCGCTTTTATTTTTGGACGAAACCCGGTACGCAGTCCTCTGGCGACAATACGTTGCAGTCGCATAACAAAAAGGTCCAGCTCATGCAGCCCTATGTTGCATAAAAGGGGGATAACTCTAATTATAACGGTATCATTATAACGGTATTATACCACTGTATTATGAAGCAATCCCAAACCATACCTTGTATAATTGTATAAAAAATATTCTGTAATGAAGTCCCTAGGAGTCCGCACAAATGTTACAGTCTTACAAATGTAAGGTTTTATTTTTGTCATAGACTCTTCTCGAATTACCAAAAGATGCTATTTGGTATAAGCTAGAAACTTGATAGTGGTGATAACAATTTTGAGTTTGATCGCGTTGACATTTTAGAGTGAATCCACGATATAAAAAATATGTCTTGGAAGCCATTGACTAAAGTTACATGTTAAATGGACCTCTGAGTATTATTTAATACATTTGGTGTTATATGTATTATACTGGGCAATCCGCGAAGAATCCAATTATACAGACCCTTAGGGACAACCCATGTGTCCTTAGGGTCCTTTTTGTCTCTTCTTGAACCAGGTTCAAGAAACTGTTGTCTCGAATTCTTCGCGCATGAGGCCTATAAGCACTTGCTTATCTATTTTATTGAAGGATTGCGGATTGAATATTTTATTTGACCTTCTATGAACCAGAAGTTCAAATCGAAACCCTATGCAGGTTGATCATCTGGGGGTTTTGCGCGAGGGATCGCTTTGTAGAATATAGGTGCATATTTTAGGCATAAAGAAGAGGAGATCGAGTTATCCTCGCAGCAATTAAATAACCGTTTTGCAATGGACTTTGCAGAGTTTGTACTAATATAAGCACTTGCTTATATTAGTACAAACTTGTGACTCTGTTCATATTTCTTAATTTATTCAATCACTAGAACTTCAGTCACATGAGCAGTTTTATTTACACATTGATAAGTTTAGTGGAGATAGTCATGTCGTCCAGCAACTTTATTTGATGTTGATGTGTATTGCATGGATATGCATTTTAGGTGTATCATTCTGAAATGAAAATGATCAAATCTAAGTAATAAAAAACTTGCTTTTGAGTATCCTTGAAGATCGAAATTTCCAGAATTTTTTTAGAGTCAAGAAGATGGTATTTTATTCTTTCAGTGTTACATTTACACGGAGTGATGTTAAATATAAGCTAATAGGCTTCCATTGGATCTCTTTTTTGAAATTTTAGTTTGAATTGAACTCACAAGTTTGTTCAACAAACTTACATGTGTACATGTTATGTAAATGAGTGTGCAGAAAACATTCAGATAATATATTCTTTTGTACATTTTACCTTTTTTTGAGGGAATGGCTAGTTATTACTCACTTTGGGTTCATTGGTTTCACCCTAGTATTCGTTTTGAGGTCATTCGTCGATCCTTATAGTGGCGCTGCATTGATGGTTCTTCTATGGTTTTCGTAAAACTCGTTAGCTGACCTGCTCGTACAGCCCTTGATGTAGTAGCTACCGTATCGAGAGCCTTTGCAGGGCCTTATCTACTGGCCATACAAATACTCCATATGCGATCTTGTATGCACTTGTGAATCGCGCCATAATGCAGACGGGAAGTTCTTGCCCATCTTCCCCGCTCTCCGTGACAGGCCGAGCTCTGGTCTGAACTTGTGCCAAAGAATATATGCATCAAAGAGCCATCCAAGTGTCTACTCGCCCGAACGAGAGATCACCACCATAAGTTCAGACACGTAATTATTATTGTTTAAAGCAAAGCAATCGGAAGAATTCCGCAATCGTAGTATCTTGTTTCCACCTGTTGTCCATTTCAGAGACCTTCTTCCCACGCTCTCGATCGTGTCGAGATGTTTTACATAGGCTTCTGCAGATGGAGAAAAAAATGCAGATTTTTCATAAAGCTATTTTAGTCAAGCTTTCGGCTCATCGTTTATGTGCTCAATAGTGAATCATCGACTGCACATTCGCAACACATCTGATGGAGAAGAGTAGAGAGCAAAATGAACAACCCACAGCGTTGCGAGACAGAGAGGGTGTATGAATGGATCCGTAAGAAAACTCTGGATGCGCGAGTATATACTCTTCTTATTGAATCATATGGTACTATTTTGATTATAAGAACCGCCTTAGTGATGCTAACTGCCATGAATGCAACGCCACTGACACCTATAAGGATCGACAAATGGCTGCAGATCGAAGACTAGGGTGAGTGTTAATTAGACCACAGTGAGGTATAACAACCCTTTTACTTTTTTGACATTGTGAACTACAAATGATTATCATTGGATTATAATTTTCTTGAAATTCATAATTCATGCCAAAAGATCATGACTATAAAATCATTCTAAAAACTAATGAATTTCATGTTTTTGTCAAAAGAAATATTTTGAAAAATTCGATCCTGTG